AATAAAATAAAATAAAATAAAATAAAATAAAATAAAATAAAATAAAATAAAATAAAATAAAATAAAATAAAATAAAATAAAATAAAATAATAATAAATATATATAATATATACATATAAGTGGCGCTTTGTAAAGACTGAAACCTCTTTTCGTCCGGCCTCTTTCTCCAGTTACAGTTTATACTAAGCCTCATCCGAACGGGGGATGGTTGTTTTGATGAGTAGCTTTATTTTATGTCAAAAGTACACTCAGAGGGGTTGACATTCTCTGCCAAGAGGCGACCGCAATTGGAAAATTTTACTTAATTTCTTATTGAATTTAATTTGCTGTAATTTTTTGGAGTTCAGTACGTAAAGCTAACCACTTGGCTACCACTGAATAAATAAAATAAAATAAAATAAAAAGAAAAATAAAAAAAAATAAAAATGAGTTGACATCATTTAAGTTTCGGAATGAGTGGGATTTTATTGAGCTAAGGATGAATGCTGAGTGAAAGTAAGTGAAGCCGAGATTAGTGAAATTGAGTTGAGTTGCGCTGATTCGAGTTGAGTTGGGTTGAGTTGAGAAGAGTACAGTTAAGTAGAACTCAATCGGGAAACTCATTTGAGTGGAGCGGATTGGAATCTGGTCGGATTAATAATAGAATAGAGTTGATTTGAGTTTAGCTTGGTGGGTGATTGAACTAGTAATAAGAAAGATGCTGAAGAAAATTAAAAAAGTCTGTGATCTAACCTCTTAAGCAGCAATTGGTATTAGTTTAAATTGGGTCTTAAAGTCATTATGTACGTATGAGCGTCTAAAGATGTATTTTTCTGCTGGTACAAAATGAAGCAACAGGTCTTCTGTATACCCACACACATTTAGGCCACAACAAATTAAGCGAAAACCTACTTAGTTCCCATAAGCATTGGATTTGTGCATTCACCACAACAACAATGTGCGTATTGCGTGTTATTTACGTGTATACATACTTAGCTTCTGCGTAAGGAAGTGTATACGTAAGTGAGTAAGTAGGTAGGTAAGTAAGTAAGCAGATGCTTAAGTGCATACCCACTTATGGAAAGTATGAATTGAGTACCGGAATGTTTAATGAAAAATTTAGATTGCTTGTGCGTATGTCTGTGTGTGTGGTTTTCCAATATTATGGCATTGAAGTATTCATCCTTGACACACATACATTCATACACACATGATGTGGTGAGCGCGACATTAAATTATTTAACTCAACGTACAATATGTGTACATTTGTGTGTGTGTGAAAAGCGGAAGTGTGTGTTTGCAAGAGGAGAAATTAAATTTACTGTTATTAGTATTACCTTCTTTACTTCTCTAGTGCGCCCTTGTAGATTTTCTATAAAACACTTTTGTACATAGAAATCTATCTCCAACTTCTGCTTAGTCTACCTACCTTTCGTTAAGCTCAAAACCAATATTTATTTATTTCTCTTATTAAAATCTCTTCACTTTGTACCTTTCAGATGGCTGGCAGTGGGGATCCCAAGTGGCAGAAGGATGCGGCCGATCAAAATTTCGATTATATGTTCAAGCTACTGATAATCGGCAATTCAAGTGTGGGCAAGACAAGTTTCCTATTCCGTTATGCCGACGACAGTTTCACCTCAGCTTTTGTGTCAACGGTGGGCATTGATTTCAAAGTGAAAACTGTGTTTCGACATGATAAGCGTGTTAAGCTGCAGATATGGGTGAGTAGAAATTCCGGAAAAAAATGAAAAAAAAATAACAAATGGTGAAAGAAAAAATAGAGTAGAAAAATGTTGCAAAAGCAAAAGGTGCAATAAAAAAAAACATACATATATACAATATATATATATATGGAAAAAGTACAGAAATGCAGTGAAGTGTAGTAAATCGGACATGGCAGTGATTAATTGTGAAAAACATTCCCTTAGTAGTCGCGTGTGATAAATGTTTTCTTTCAGAACGACGATTTTTTCATAATTCAACATTTTTTTTATGCTTTGTTATCATTTTTATTAATGGCCAATGGCGTTGGCGAGAATATGCTTAACTGAAAGTAGAAAAAATATTCCATTAGGTTGCATAAATAACATCTATATACACATTTTTTTCGTACTTTCAGGCGGCTAGTTTTACATATATCTACAAATAAATGATAAAGAAGAAAAATATCGGCAGTGGAGCTGTACACCATCACCAACTTTTTTTTTTTAATATTCTACGGTGATTTGAATAAAAGCGAATAATTATAGACTCCCAGCACAGCAGTAAATAGTTGAAAGAGAGGGAAAAGAAGAGGGAAGAAAGATATATAGGACCACAAGCGGCCGCATTAGCTGAGTGGTTAGTAATACGTAAAACCCTACGTGGGCCAAACGAACTTCAAAAATCGAAGAAAATTAAGTTTTCCAAGTGCCGTTCCCCGGTAGAGAATTTCGAATAATGCGAGTATATTTCTGATATAAAAAAAGACTCGCATAAGAACCTATCATGGGCGAGGAGGCCGCTGAATAAGGTTAAGGGGTTAGACCTGTGTTGTCCGTGAAACTTTAGGTGATTTTTGGGAAAACTTTTGATAAAAAAGTACTCGATAGAATGTTTTGAATTTTTTTTTTTTGAATTTTTTTTATACATATTTATATATAAATGAGTGCATAAGTTCGTGCCCGATTTCAAGTGCAAACTAAAATTGAAATTTTTTGAAGAAAGCGCTTTTATTAATCAATTATGTATTCGCCATCATGTTCGGCAATCCACTCCCAACCTTCACCAAATTTACGGATGCCTGATTCATAGAAATCGCGCGGTTTCTCTTTGAAAAAGGTGTCAAGGTGGTTTTTGACGTCTTCCACATTTTTAAAATTTTTCCATTCAAATTGTTCTGCAGCGATCGAAACAAATGATAATCAGAAGGTGCAATGTCGGGTGAATATGGGGGATGCGGCATGATTTCCCAATTCATCTCCTACAGTTTGGCCAGAGTCGGTTTTGCAACATGTGGCCTGGAGTTGTCATGATGGAAAAGAACTCCTTTGCGATTGGCCAAAATCGGACGTTTTTCATCAATTGCTTTCTTCAATTCGACCAATTGCTGACAATACTTGTTGGCAGTGATTGTTTCTTTAGCTGGCAAGAGCTCAAAATAGATCACGGCTCCGATATCCCACCAAATGCACAGCAGTACCTTCATCAGATGCAATCCACCTTTCGACATCGGTTCCGCCCCTTCGTGTGCCAGTTTCCATGTTCAAATTGTTCTATGTTACTTCAAAGTGTACCCAACCTTTTTTAAACGACGAAACGCAGTTGATTTGTTGACGTTCAATTCACTGGCAACCTCTTCCGTCGAAATACGTGAGTTATTCGCAACTAAAGTCCTTAGAACATCGTCATCAAGCTCAGAAGGCCCTCTACTGCGAGGTTGATCTTCGAGGTTAAAATCTCCAGAACGAAATTTCGCGAACCATTTCTTTACTGTGTGGAGTGCTGGAGTACGGTCCAAATAAACTTCGCGAATATCTTTAGTTGCAGCGCTTACTGTTTTTCCTTTGCGGAATTCGTATAACATAATATGACGCATATGATCTTTTTCGTTGTCCATCTTCCATGCGTCTTTTCACTAAGCAACTCAAATCAAAATGTAGTTATTATATGCTTAATTTACAGTTTGGACTGTCAGCTTTCCAACGATATATAATACGTATATATTTCCTTCACGAGCGCCACTCTCAAACGATTCGAACGGCATCCAGCGGAATCGGGCACGAACTTATGCACTCATCCAATATTTTTCAAAAACATTAATTTAACAAAACAAACCGATTTATGTGCTGTCTTTGGAGAGGCCAAATAAGAGGGTATTTCAACTGCTGATATGATTCCGGCCAAATGAGTATTCAAAACAAAAAAAAAAAAATTAAAGAGGGTAATAAAGTTGAAGGTATTTCCTATGCAAAGGTCTACAATTTTTTAGAAATGTCAAAACTTAAAAAAAAGCATAGTTTCACTAAAAACTATGCAAGATACGATTTATCCGCTTCCACAGGATATTTTCGAGAGCGAATAAGCGAAGAAAAGGTATTCTAATTTTTTGAAAGTTTTACACAAGTACATCACCTAAAATGTAAGAGACACCAATTATATCGTCAACCTTGTAATCCAGCGCAGATTCACTCTTGCCAACAGGAGCCACTTTAGACTGAGTAGGCAATTGAAAAGTAAAGTCCGTACTCGACGAACGAAAACCAAACTCTACAAGTCACTCATCGCTCCTGTTCTGCTGCATAGTACGGAGACATCCACGATGTTAACATTTATTGAGTTGGCATAAGAAGTTTCGAAGTATAGGGATTTGCGTAAGATTTTTTTTAATCCTCTGCGCGTTGGCAACGACTAAAGGTGATTTTAAAAACATGCTAGGGCTCAGTCCCACAGCGCAGTAACGATCAAAAACTACCGTCAAACGCTGAAATTGGAGGTCTTATACCACCTGTCGTATATCCTAGACCCTGCTTCAGCCGACTAAATGCCCTTTCGACGAGTACCAAACGATTAGGGGGTAATCAGTTTGACTCTTTTGAAGAAATCGTAGAGTGTCTCAATGATGGTATCGTGAAGAGAAAGAAACTAGAGAGTTGGAAAAAAATCTGACTTCTGATGGATGATACTTTAAGTGATAAATTTTTTTACTTTTTACCTATAAAAAATTAAATTATTTTCTATTTCCAAAGGAAAAATTTAAAAAAGAAAAATAAAATCTAGATTTTAGGTAAGAAAGGGACTTTTTTGTATGTAGTTATGTTCTCTTAACCCAACAACGAAATCCCTGCAGGTGCATATTGCGAGCAATGTACGCCTACTAACTTTTCCTTCTATAAATATATATACAGATTTATATATATATGTGTATATGTATATTACACAAATGCGTAATGCGTAAAACACACTTGCATTACATTCTATATAAAGTTGCGCGTAAGACCTTGCCATCTACGAGGAGGTGGCAAACAGTTAACCTTGTCCTTTTGCCTTCCGTTTTATCAACTAGTTACCGAGTGCACTTCGCTGCTTCACTTCAAATAGTTCGAGTGGATATTAAAAAGGAAAAAAAACAAGGTGTAAAAGAAAATATAAATAAATAATTACTATTCACTTTATTATAAGAATAGCAGCAGATAAACACACACACACACACACACACACATACTTTTCTGTGGTTTAGCCACAAGTGCACTTGCTGAGTAGTTCTTTGGAAAATTATTTATATTTTTAATATTCATATTTACTGTTATATATATGGTTTTATTAATACAACTGATCTCTTTTGTTATCTAATTTCTTTTGAATTACTCACTCATATATTCTAAATGATTTGCAAGTTTTCCATATATAACATGGATATGATGATATGTAATTGTTTTGTTGCTATATCTCTAGCTTTTATAATTATTGCTACACATACATATACACTATTTATAACCACAATCACATATGCTCCATTCTTCTATATTTACACTGTTATCTTTCATTTCAATAAGTTTTATGGATATTTATTGTGTAAGAATTGATTGGTAGTAACAACGCGTGTATTGTGTTTGGGATTAACATATACGAATAAACCAGCAAGTCAAAAATATATATATAATCTGTGAGCAAACTGTTAGATAAATTTGTTTGTAAAATTAAAAATCTTTATTTATTCTTTTACATCGTTTGTAGTCGCCTTCAAAATAGTCCCCTGCCGATGCATTGTCGAAGCATCTCAAATAGTCACGTTTTGGTATGACCTCTAGAGAGCGTGCCGATTCACGTTTACTCTCCTCAATCGACCCAAAGCGGTGTTCTCGAAGTGGTCCCTTCAGTTTTAGACAGAGCCAGAAGTCACATTGTGCCAAGTCTGGCGAATATAGTGGTTGGGAACCGATATTCGTGATGCCGCAGGCACTTTTAGTCGTTAAGTAACCACAAGCGTAACTAAACTACCAATGCTGCTATTAACATGGAATTTGGCATAGATGTCAATAACAGTAGTACCAACATTAAAAAAGTAGATTTAACCCGAAATATTGAACAAGGGAAGCTCAATTTAAAAATTAACCTTACTTTTTGCTCAAGTATTTTTAGCGGTTTTGAATACATTCTTTTTTCAGAGACCAACTGTAATCCAAAAAAATCCGATAAAGGATTTAATTTACTTTAAATGTCATTTTTCTCCCGACCTATTTAAGTCTTTATTAGGATTATGTGTGTTGTACTACTTTGTTGATTTGGGTATTAAGATGGACCCTAAACTTAACTTCCATCTTCATATTAAGTCTAGCCAAATGAAAAAAATATATATATTTTTGCATTAAATTCAAGGCTTTATTTACAACAGTTCCAATTATCCGATTCATATCAACTATACACTGGTTTACTGGATATCCTTTTGGAATTATGGAGGTTATATCTTTCATAGAAATTTTTGTCTAAATTAGCAAAAAAATGGGGACAATCGATTTTCGCAAGCTTCTCTCCTTCACGAGCAATATAATGGAATAGGTGATAATCTTGAGGGGGATAATTGGTACTAAGTCCAGACTATAAAATGGATGCATAAGAACCTCACAATCAAGCTCTTAGAGCTTCTGGTAAATTACTAACGGTGTGTGTGGTCTGCTTAAACTAAGCGACTTCTTCCTTCGGACGTTCCAATCGCTGACAATAGAGTTACGTATTAAAAGTTTAACCTTTGAAAATTATACCATTCTCATAACAAATCCGTCCTGGCCGTCACTCCCGACTTTGAGACCGTTCTCTGCTGGCTCCCTGACCTTCGACCAAAACGGGCTAGTGCCCTTTGACCTACCAATTTCAAGCACCTCTTGATTTCGTGAATCCATTTTAGGTGCTTTTGAGATCATGATCTCTTAGATGGTGAGGAGGGATGCGGATTCCTGTTATCTTTTCTTAGGACGCGCTCATCTCTGGCATTGGGATTTTTTTTCCATTTGAGATTTGCGCATCTGACAGTCTTGACGAGGAGCTTAGTGGCTTTGAAGCAGGAGATCTGTGTCCCTCTATTCTCCTGTAGCAAATGTATTGGTGGTTAGGAAAATATTTTAGCTTGGATATTTTACTTGCTTAGGGTCTTGCGTCACATCCCTTTCCTTTCAGATTTACTGTGGCTACCCTTCCGTATTCTGGCACACGGTTCGAAATTTATCTTATTGGACATGTGCTTTTTGCCAGTCGCTAGAGGTTGTTTTCATTCGTGGAGCATAGATTATGTGCCTACGAGTCTGGTAGGCTAAAGAGTTATGTTAGAGTCGGTCTTGTAGCTCCGTTCGTCTCCCGAAGGCATTTGTAATGGTTTTCCCTTAGACGAAACAATGAAAAGAAGAGAGAAACCCTTTCGATTGCGGTATAACTCCATTCCGTTAAAAAAATTTCTTCTTCTTTAATAATCTCTATGGGCCTGGAGAACTCAACAAGCTGGATGTACGAAAAAAAAGTTTAATATTTTGATTCTATAGATTAGTTAGGCCGAAGAAACTGTTACAGTGAGTCTGGATGTCTGGATATTAATCTTTCAAATACCGAAATGGTACGCTGCACTAGAAGATGTAAGCCATATGTTTTGAAGCCGCCCTTACTCATATCGGAAAACCGCAGAGAAGAGTATGAAAGTTATGGGGTCACTGCTTGATGGCCTACACTAGAAAATGCCAAGACCAAATGGGAAAATGAAACCACGTGCAATGTGACCAGACATATTGGCCTGGCAATTGATCTGAACTACTTCTAAGCAGGACTTCCATAAGCATAACATCCAGCGTAATAAATGGACATTATCTTATGGGGGCTCATGTCAGCAGAATGGGCTGTTTCTTTAACGACTCTTGGGACATAGAGAAGGAGTAATCGGTGAAACATTAACTCTTCCGCTTCGATTACCTTGTTAAACTTTGGAACTGTAGGGCTCAATAACCTACCAAACTTTGTAAAATACATAAAATGGTTAAAACATCTGAAAATCACAGATCCCATATAGGTTTCACCATGGGTCAGTAGGCGTAAGTGCGCTTGATCAGCGTGTCTGAACGAGCAACCTCTTTCATGAGCTAACCATGTAAAGATAGATGAATTGTTGGAAGGGAATTGAACAAAGAATCTCCCTTGACAACTCATATAACCTTTAACTAATTTGCGACGTAAACTGTTAACCTCTCTCTCTCTCGACGACCGAAGAATGACAACTGCTATAACAAAATGCAAAAGAAATTTTTCTACACCGAATTCAGAGATTTGCGAAAGGTTTATGTTTTCTTGTACAAGTGATGGCGGTTACCGTAAGCTAACTAACGCTGACACTGAGAGATATTGGCTACGCTACATAGGCAACATGAACTAGGAAGAGGGTTCATTTTTCGCATATAGAAGCACAGGAAGACTTTACTTCTCTTGTAAAAATCTAGTGATGTGGGGGATCTGTATAAAATTACCACTAAAAGCAGTGCCGAATAGCGAAATGAATATAATAACTTTTAGGTCTAAGGCTATTAAGCATAAGAAGAAACTCCTTAGTAAAAACTCTCCAAATGGGATAACTGAAGAGAATTTTTAGTCTTCAATGAAACATTCGAAGGAAAAAGTCAGAAAAGAATGAAGGCTCAATTTTACGAGGTGTGACAATTAAGTAATGAGACTGATTCCATAAAAACAGAATATTTCAAAATTATTCAACAACTCAGCCTTCCCCTTCAAAGTAGTCTCCTTAGGCAGCTATACAACGACTCCAGCGTGCTTTCTACGCTTCGTAACATTTTTGGAACGCTTCGACTAGAATGTTCACGTGTACCCTCGTCAGGGCTGCCTGGATGTCCTAAATCGGCTCAAAATGGATTTCTTCGATCACCCATTTTGTTCTAGGGAATCAAAAAATAGCCACAGGGATATATATCGGGCGAATAAGACGGTTGTTGCAATACGGCGATCCCTTTGGAGGCCAAATACTGGAACACGCAGAGGGCGGAGTGGCACGGCGCGTTGTCGTGATGAAGGATCCAGTTACGAGCGATGTCTGGGCGCACCCTGTAAACTGGTTTTCGCAAGACTTGATTTACGGTTTTAATTTGGCGCACAATTTTATCGCGACGCGTTGCTCTTGCATTCGTTTCTCCATTATCGTGACGAGCACCACGAGTACACGTTTACTCAACACGACACAGCAGACGAACTAAACAAGCTAAAGCGATGGAAAATATATCCATGGAGAGGAAAAGGATGCCGGGAGAAGGAAAAGGAAATCTCAAGGTCGTAGGCATACCACAATCGCTGCAATCACGCCTCGTATTTAAGATTTATGAGTCAGTCTTTGGTGGAAAAGGAGTAGGGCCACACTCTCGCTCAAAGTGCCTTTAATAGATATTGAACGAGAAGTTTTCTTTTAACCAAAGCAGAAAAAGCCCCACATAAATCTCCCTACGAATCTTCTTTTATACTTCTCTGCATTAAACTCGGTTTTAAGTCAGCAATTGCGTGCAGAAAACCACACACTCCTACACGAACCACATCAGAAGACATAAAGAAAGTTTTATAGCCAAACGCCCGCAACTTTGTTGCACATTTCCATTTCCAGCAAAATGGCGACTATAAAAAAATGTAATTTGTCGCCAATAAAAGTGTTAATGCGCGGACATTTATTGGGTTGCAATTAATTTAGCTTTTCCGTCGCCTTCTTCCACAGCATATATGCATACTTACTTTTATTGAATTTCTTTATTTTGACTTTGCTTTTTCACCCTCTCTCTCTCGCTCTCTCTCTCTTTTGTTAACAGGATACAGCGGGTCAAGAACGCTACAGAACAATAACCACAGCATATTATCGTGGCGCCATGGGTTTCATTCTAATGTATGATGTCACAAATGAGGAGAGTTTCAATTCTGTACAAGATTGGTGAGTATATACATACATATATACATGCATATATATGCACTACGCAAAAAATACACAGAGAGGGGAAACAACTTGTATCCTTAATTTCTTACTCACTAAAAAGAGTGAATAAGTGAATGTGCAGCTTGCACTTTAAAATGTTAAATAATTAATGAAAAATTTAAAATTGATTGAGGGAGACAGTAGCAAATATTTAATGAGAAAAATTTAAGAGAAAGAAAATTATATGAACTTTAAACTTGGAAAACTGTTCCTTACACAAGCACAGAAGCGCATCATTAGCCTACTTAACTGCTGAGTGATGAGGAGAAGGTACTGCCGTGCAGTAAGTCGTGCGTTTAAGTCCTGGTTCGACCAACATCAAGCCAATATTATAATTAAAATAAAACTAAAATTAAAATTAATTAAAATTAAATTAAAAAAATTAAGAGAATTTTTTTTTATTTTGGTCGACCGTCGGCAGAGATTTCAACCCCTCTGAGAGTGCTCGTCAAATAAATTCATCAGCCAGTCAACCCCAGCTTAGAAGAAATTGTAGCTACCTCCATTTTTTTGCAAAACTGAAAAGATGAGCCAATTATATATATAATCGAACCTCTATTTCCAACGAATTAATTATAAATACTTAATCAACTTGTTGAGAATCGGTAGAAGTGCCAGAAAATTGAGACACAGAAAGTCTGAGGCTACACTACCTACTCATATACATATAAAAAATTTGGCGAATAATTGCATAGCAGAAGAGAGCTCTTGTTTTCCGCTTACTTGCTCAAAGTTGATTTAAAGTCATGAATTTTGCCCTTAAAAGGCTTTTTAAGCAATTAGACCTAATGGTTGGTCTCAGAACTTTCACAGTCTGGCCAAAAAATTTCAAAATATTCTCTGATCGGAGCTCATTCATATTGAGTTACGTCAACATCCATTATATCCCATAAAAAACCTTATCTGTCTCTCCGTCCATCTGTTTGTGGAGTAAATATTGAGTAAACTTGGTTCATGCGGGGGCTACTCCTTCATTCTTTATACCAAGTGTAATCGGTGAGGGAAAGATTGTTCCATTTTTCAAGGGTCTTTTCTGAGATTTGGTCCAATCAGTTTGTTGATGGCGTGTTTTAGTTTTTTAAACAATACGCTCGATAGCACCTTATATACTATATTGAGTAGGCTTATCTCACGATAATTAGAGCAGACTATGGGTTTGCTGCTTCTGTGTATTTGGTACGGCCGAATATATGCTGCAAAGAATCCTCTCCCTCTCCCTTTTCCTTTCCCTTTCCTTTTCCCTTTCCCTTTCCCTTTCCCTTTCCCTTTCCCTTTCCCTTTGCCTTTCCCTTTCCCTTTCCCTTTCCCTTTCCCTTTCCCTTTCCCTTTCCCTTTCCCTTTCCCTTTCCCTCTCCCTCTCCCTCTCCCTCAACCACTCCTCTCTAGCTCTATCGTTGTCTCTTTCATTTTTTCCCTCTGTCTCTCCCTCCCGCTGTCATTCTCGTTTTCTCTATATGTATGTATATATATATCTTATCTCTTTCCCTCTTTTCCTCTCCATTTTTCTCTCTCTCTCTCATATACACACTTTATATAAAACTTTTCTGATTGTCTCTCTCTCTTTCTCACACAGGGTTACTCAAATCAAGACATATTCCTGGGACAACGCACAAGTGATACTTGTCGGCAATAAATGCGACATGGAAGATCAACGAGTGATCTCATTCGAACGCGGCCGACAATTGGCCGATCAGTTGGGTGTAGAATTCTTCGAGACATCAGCCAAAGAGAATGTGAATGTGAAGGTAAGTTAAAGTGGCATTATAATAGGCGGAATTTTTAATCTCACTCTCTTCCTCTCTCTCTCTCTCTCCCACTTGCGCAGGCTGTTTTCGAGCGGCTGGTGGATATAATATGCGATAAAATGTCCGAGAGTTTAGACTCGGATCCGACGTTAGTAGGCGCTGGGCAAAAGGGGCAACGACTGACAGATCAACCTCAAGGCACGCCCAATGCGAATTGTAATTGTTAAATAACAAATCCAGAACACAAACACAAACATATACACATTTACACAAACATCTATATAGAGACATTTGAACAAATATATATATATATAATACATATACATACACAGCATATATATATATATATATAGAGGCATGTAGACACAAATAAATATATTTAAAAAGTAAAATAAATAAAAAAATAATAAAAATGAATGAAATGAAATAAGGAAATAAATGAGAAACTAAATAAGCTATAAGTGAGGCATTAATACATACAAACATATATTCATATAAATTAAATGCTGTTGACTTGTGTTGTCACATATTGTTTGTTGTCTCAGTTTTTAGATGTTTTTTTTCGAAAACGAAGAAAAAGTTGTTTTCTACATTGTATTGTATGTTAATGTGCTGAGTTGCCAGATTGGAAAAAAAAAATTTGCAAATTTATTGGAAAAAAAGAAAACGAAAAGAATTAATTAATTATTATTATAGCATACAAACATAACATAATATTGACCAAGGTAATCATTGTTTTCAATAAAATAAAAATACATAAATAAGAAATAATAATAAAAAAAATAAATTTAAATATAAAAACAATAAAAAAAGGAATATGAAAAATTGTATTGGATTCTGTATGCCGAAGTTGTAATTTGAAATGTTAAAATATATATATATACATATACATAATTGTAATTGTAGTGGTGCAGCTGAAGATCGTTAATTGTGTATGTTTCCATGAATCGATATGTATGTATTGTACGTATTATGACTAATGGATATTTAATTGTAATTTGTAAAAATTAACTAACTACACACATACATGCGCACAAACACATATATGTATGTGCATAAGTTTGTTTGCTGCATATGTATGTATGTAAGTGTTGGCTGGTTTTCTTTTACGAAAAAAAAACCAAAAACTGGTCAAAACAAACTAAAAATAGACAAAAAAAATATATGAAAAAATAGTGTTTATAAATTACAACAAAATACAATAATTACAAAAAAAAATATTATTCTCACAACAAATTACAGTTACGCTGTTAAAAAGGCTATCTAAAACTACAAAGAAGAGCAAAAAAAATATAAAAATTACAATAACTCTGAACTTGTACAACAATAACACAGAAAGAAAGCTACACTTTTTACAAAAAAAAACCCAAAAACAAAAATAATATAAAATTAATAAAATACAAAACAATAAATAATAAATAGATAAAAATAAATATTAAAAAAATATTAACATTATGAACGTATTTAATTAATTTAGTTGTAACTTATTTATACCAAAAACACACAAACAACAATACATATACTTGAACACGTAATATTTACATACACACACACAACACATACATGCATATAGCTGTAACCAAAAGTATTAGCCGCAAAAAGACACTTTTTTTACTTAAAAACAAATTATGAAATTCAAACTAAATAACTGAAAATAAAAAATCTATGCTACATAACTCGCAGAAATCAATAATAAGTATGAACTTTTATTAATTCTATTTTTCACAACTACATACATAAATAAATTACAGAAATAAAACTCGGTTCTCATTGTACTTAGAAGCAGTTTTACGCCAAGAGAAGGAAATAAGATGAAATGAAATGAAATGGAAAAATGAAACAAAAATAAGATTACAAAAACATAAATAAAATAAAATTAATTTCACAACTCACAAACAAAAAACACAAGAAAGGCCGGCAGTCAAAACTCCCTAAAAGGCAACTTGGTAGATGGAGAAAAATAAAAATCAATTTTTGCTTAAACGCAATTGGCTGACCTCAAAAGCTAATATATTACATATTAACAGAAATTTGCTGAAAATTAACTGTACATGCACACATACCCTGACATTTGTATGTATGTAATTTAATATTATAAATAAATTGTCATTTTCAGAAGTTAAAAATAATTACAACATTCTACATTCTCTAGGCAAATTATCCATAAAAAATGGTCAAACACTCACACACACACACACACACACACACACATCCACACATTTTCGATACAAAATACATAAATACATATTTACATACATATAAATATACGCTTAAATTATTATCATTGCATGTTTTATTGTAGTAAATATATAAATACATATATATATATCTATATATGATCATTATAAACAAACAACAAACAAACAAAACAAAAAAAAAACAAAAATAGAAACAAGTAAATAAATTTAAAAGAAAACATAAAAAAAATTAATTATATAAATGAAATGATTATGACTATTGAAGAAAAATACAGTTATGATATGTCAACAAAAAAAAAAACACTAAAAATTTTACGTAATTTTATTTAAAATGATTTTCATAAAAAAAAACGGAGAGCTAAGGCGTAAGTACTCCCTCAAGAAAGTCAAGAAAGGAAGATATTCTTTAATTTACTTTTGCAGGTCCATCTAAACATTTAAAGAGCTCGTTTTATCATGAAAATCTAAAATTTCAGGCATTTCACCAAGAAGCTTTCAGAAAGAGGGTTCTTTTTATTTTATAACTTAAGCACAGGCGGAATCTGTCTTGGACAGATTGACACTCAAAATAACTGAAAATAATTTTTCTAATTATGTTTGCTCTTCGACAGGCATCACGTACCCTTCGAGCGGCTATTACACCTAAGTAACAGGAAATATTGGGTGTGGAAATTAATTTGGGTTCTTTTTTTTGTATTCCAAAAAAAAATTTTTTAATGAAAACGTACAAAAACACAATTCAAAAAACAAAGTTACCTATATTGCGGTTTCGAAAATAACCGTCAATAAGTTGAATTTCAAATATTTTTTTTCCTGAAATTCTTTTTTCAAACAAAAAATCATTCAAATGAACGCCCCGGGAAGTTATGCAAACTTTCAACCGTTTGAGGTAATTATCGGCCTCTTTTTGACACATGTTGGACTGGATCTCACATTGTCCAAGTCGTGTTCTTTAATCGCATGGCGAAAAAAAGTAGGTTATAATTCGACCATAACGCTCCGACCAGACAGAGACAGTCTCGCTGTTGTCGTTTTCAGAGAAATGGGGTCCAATCACACTTACGGACCAATTAACACACCGGATAGCGAGATTCTTGGGTGTAATGGACTTTCTTCAATTATTTCAGGGTTCTAGCAGCCCCAAAGACGTGCCAACCACGGGACGTTCGAGTGAGTGACTGAAAAAATGTTGTTCCATATATCGTCGTCCACTGTCTGTTGCTGTCCAATCACCCAATCAATGTAGTATGTACGGCGCTGTTAATGGTCAGTTGGCCTCAGTTGTTATGTGAGGTGGACTTTATATGCATGAAGGTGTAAGTCCAAGTGCAAAATACGCCATAATGTGTTGTAAGGAAGTCTCAGCTTTGGAGTACGTCGAGAAATAAGCATATTCGGCCTTAGGCTACACTTTCACTTACAGCTTCGATATTTGTGGTGGAACGAGCAAAACGATTACAGGTTTCATATATACTTTTAACAGATCCACTCTCTTAAAATTTCTTAAAAATTTTATCAATTGCTTTCGGGGTTTGAGCGGTTATGTGCATCATAATCACCTCTTATAGCACGCAGCGTGGTAATATTTTTTAACCACCCTTTTTGTAATACCTACTAAACATTTTAAAGCTTTGAGGGGTTGTAAAGCTTCCATTTTCTTAAATGCCCGACTTTTATCATTTTGACTAATGTCAAAATTCAACCTTGCACTTCTGAAACCACGATAATCCTATATAGTCCTTCGAAAGCGACTCTTTCTTCCCATCTATTTGGTAGTTTTCCAATATAAATTCGATAAATGAGTCATCTCTGTCATCGATCTAATTATATAGCCATTATTCAATTTCAATTAGTCGGTAAAACCATAGACTGGATAATACGGCGAATGAGTTAGACTGTTAGACTCCCATATCAACTTTTCTAATTAGTTTATAACCGGAACAGATACGTGGAGCCGAGCGCTGTCATTTTTCAAAATCACCTTGTCATGCCCTTCTCTCATTTCTAGCTTTTTCTCACGCAACGAATGAGTACAGGCACGTAAAACAAGGACAATCGATTTTCACAGGCTTCGTTTGAGAACAATTCTTTACCAGCTAAATTATTCGTCAAAAACAGCGACCAAGCTTTTGGAGTTTCAGGTGAATCTCTATCGATGTGTACAGTCTGAAGTTGTATTGATGAAACACAATTTCCCTGTTGTAGGCCAAAGTTGGTCGCTTCTGGGCTATTACTTCCTTAGCATAAGTCGAAATTAGGGTGAGTAGCTCATAATACCAACACATTACAAAGTGATTCACGTTTTACTACCATTCCCCATCGGCCACAGAAATGTGCCGTTTTTGTTACGATACACAGCGATTCGCTTTTGGAAATTCATTCCAATAGGTTTTTCTCGTCAACTCATATGACAACCATGCAACGATGGAGCTTTTTTCTGTGTTTAGTCTATTTCAAGTGGTTCTAAACTACTTTGTATGCAATGTTTAGCCCCTGGTTGTCGAAATAGTGCGCGGCTGGTGGTCAAACAGGACGCGATATCCAACATTTTGTCGTAATTTTCATCAATTGGCATCAACAACAACGTGGAGCATATTTGACATCAAATTTACCGACATGACGAAACCAAAATTGTATTGTACATGGTTGACTTCTACTATAAGGGCTTTAAATATTGTTTTATTTTCAGCTGTCTGACTTGTGTTTTCGCCTTTCGTAGAAAACAGTGTATTTGCCATGCGCTCAAACCCTACTCATTTAAATAATCAACACTTATTTCATTTTTTTTTAGTACAAAATATTATCTTTCTAACCCTATCTAGCAGAATCAATTGCATAGAACGCGAGTTACATATCACTTAAGCCATCTATTGTAAAATTTGATTTAATATTGGAAATGTGTTGCATACCTATAGGCGTCAAGTGGGAACTAAACGAAGTTTAATGTCAATTTCAAGTGTTATTTTAGTTCGGCTTATTGAAGTTGCCTGTGGTGAATATTGGTCAAAACCTTCCTACTTTTGTTGTTCCATAATAATCTATGCTAAGCTATAAATTTATTTTAATTTCTCTGGAAATAAAAATGCTGTATTTTTTCACTTATACACTTTTCAATTCTTAATTACATTTATTTATATCCTTCAGCGTATTTTAGCTAAATATTCCTTCAACTGTATAATATTTATCATACATAAATTTTCCAGATTTCTATTATTTAGCTATACGACGCTGGCATCGTAAGTTATACACATACACAGAGAATATAGGTAAATAGCATATATTTACTTTGCTCATTTTGTGATTTGATAAGTTTGATATACATATGTACTATGTATATAGATTTTTTTTTAATATTTATTTTTGATGTTTTGCAATATAAAAAATCTGTGATAAATGATTTGGGTATTTTTGCATGAACTTATGCTATTAAATATATAATATATGTATGTATGTATATTTAAATTATTGTAATAATTCTTTTTTACAAAAAAATATCTTGTTTTATTTACGTAGTGTAGCGTTATATCTAAATGTGTATGCGTGTGTTCAACTTATAAGTTATTTAATTTTTCTTAATATTTAGCCGTGTATATATGTATGTATGTGTTGTGTATATATAATATACAATTTGTATTTTTTTTTGTAAATAATTATTAAGTTATTGTTTTTACAAACAAAATGAAATTAAAAATATAAAATAAACAACAAAATAAATTTAAAACAATAATTGCAATCACTGGTTGAGTATTTTTCTCATCTAAAAAAAAATTTAAATGCCAAAGGCTTGAGAAAGTTGTCTTTGTATGTAAAGAAAGGAAAGCAGTTTTCAACTAATTATTATAGTTATTGCTTTATGCTATTTCAATACCATTATTTATTGTATGTTAATATTTTTAATTAATAAGTTTTTTTTTCTCTTAAATTTTAATTAGTTCTGTAAATTTTGAGTAAAATAATTTTAAATTAACTTACGAAAAGTCTTAAATAATTATAATAAACCACAAAACTATTTATACAACACCGTTATATTACATAATAATTAATGTGCTCCGATTTTTGTGCATATTTTTATACTAAATGCTTTTACTTTTCACTTCGATGTTATTTAAAATTCTTTTTTAAAGCAATTTTTTTTAATAAAGTTTTACTTTTAAGTTAAATTATCAATTATAAATTTTATTTTAATTATTTTTTTCTAAACTTTTAACTAAATATATGGCATAAGAAGCTAAATGAAGTTGTATTTTTATTTCATTTTTTTCACCACCTTTCTACTTGCTTCCCCTATTTTACAACTAACTTTTACTACTTGTTTTTTACTTTTTTGTTGCTTTGTTAAAGTTTCTACTCTATACATTATTTTACAACTCTTTGCTTGCGTCCAACTAAATTCGAATAAGCTCCAAACTATGGGTCGAGGCACTCTTTACGTTTACGTTTCGATAAGGTGAACTGTTACGCGGGATGGGATTTGAAAAGAATGCAAATTTAATTTTATTTAAAAAAAAGCTTAAGTGAGATTTTCTTAGTTCGTAAAAATGCAGTTACTTATTATTATTGGCAAGCTTTTGGGTGGTACATTGGTGTGAGCTGAAGAGAAACAGGTAAACCACTAAAATTTTAAATTTCAATAATTTGTAAGATATATTTTGTGCAAATCATATATCTATATATATTCATAGTTCAGAGTTCAGAAATTTTGTAAAAGCTTTTTTCTGCATCTAAAATGAATCATTAATTTTGTAACATTAAGGACTTGTAATGAAGCACAATTTCCTTTACGTTTTGGAAAGCTTTTTAAAAAAGTTTATTGGCTATGCTTTGCTTGTCGAGCTTTTAGAAAAGTTTAACACATACGAAAAGAGTTTATTATGCGTTAAAACAACACATGAACAAGCTTAATGAAATTTTCAGCAAGCTTAATTGGCTTAAAAGCTCATAAATGCAAACTTTAATGAGAGCAGAGCTTTGTTGAAAATAAATTTAAAAAAATACTTTTACAACGCACAAAAAATAAACACAAAAAATGCTAACAAATCTTTTAAAATTTCACAAAAGCTAGACAGTCCAAACCTTTTGAGAGTGAGAAAAACATATTTCTCTTCAGCTCATCCTTAATTTCAATTATTTGTGTGTTTATTTTTAAAGACATTGTTTTTTTCATTGTTAGTTAGCAAAGGAAAAATGTTTTCGTTTATAATAACTAAAAAATTTTCAAAAAAAAGGAATTTTTCAACTTTTGTTTTTTATTTCTACTTTTTTTTTTAGTATTCTACAAGTTTTTGAAATGCTTGGTACGCAAAATAAAATTTAAAATTTATTTTTTTCAATATTTGATTTTTTTTTTTAGTTTTACTCAATTTAATACTTTATTTCTTCCTAATATATGTAAATAGTTACACAATTAAAAAAAATTCAGTCTGAATTACGAAAGTATACACTAAATTCTACAAAAATATGTTTTTGTAATTTTCGTGAGTTTTTTCAAAAACCTCTAATATTAAATTTCATTTATTCTCAAAATGAGTGCGTTCGTTTGATTTAACATTAAATTAGCTTTTTATGATTATAAGTAGCTTATAAATATACTAACCTACAATAACAACTAAATACATTACATACAAATTACAAGTATTTAGAAGGTTTCGTTTTGTTTTTTTTTTTTGTTAATTTTTTTAACTTTATTGAGTAGAAGCTTTCTTTAAACTTTGCTGGTTGTGTGAAGTGAGTTGGTTACCTTCGAGCAAATTGTTTGCCAAATTAACGCCTAACTTTGAGAGCGTTCATGTAAATATATGCATGCACATAGGTGTATATTATAACATTTTATGTTACAGTTTTGTAAATATAATACTTTTTTTGCTTTATCTTACAACAATTCATTATCTTCAAATATAATATTTTATATTATATATATATTTTTATTGCAGATTTTTCATATTTGGATGTCTTTAAATGGAATGAACATTTTTTTTACTATTTTTATCCTGATTTCTATATTTTTCTATAGCAGACACTTTAACTCAGGTTCAATATTAGACTGTGCGATAAATTGTTGGAATGTTCAATTTCAGTTCGGTAATGTCCTTTGCCTGAAGCACTCCGCTCAATTCCGTCATGTTTGATTTTAATTTTTATTTCATATTATATTTAATTTTAATAAATATATGTATGAAAAAAATCATAACTGTTCACGCAGTCTAAAAGAAGTTCTTCTTTAACACTATTTAGTGTTTTTTTTTTCCTTTAAATATCTATTTACAAAAAACTAGATTCGTTTTAACTAATAAATGCAAAATTGGTCGCGATTTTATGGTTATAATTATAATCATAATAAATTTATGTAAAAAATTTGTTTTTCTTTTTGACAATTAAGTGATGAATGATTTTTTTTTCAGCCTATATTGATTTGCGTTCTTTTCGTGGCACAAACTTCAACTTTTTATAATGTAATTTTTTGGAGATTCACCACAAATTTCAAATAAATAAATTAGGTAAAACTTCCTGAAGTTTTTGAATCAGTATGTATACACTTTTGTTTTATAGTTATTTTCATTTAAGTGATATCTAATTTATACATATAAAATTATTTTTTTTGTTTTTTTTTTTTTGTATATGTAAATGCGCCCTCTCCCTTACTTCTCTAAAGAAAATTTTTTATTTTTTTATAGCATCTTCCAATAGCAATAAATACACATATTATAAATATCTTAACAATAACTTATGTTTTTTTTTCATTTTATACTTACACAATTAATTTCCTCATTTTGTTTTTATTTCATTTTATTTTATTTTCATTAATTACAACATTTCATTTCGATTTATATAATTTTATTTTAATTTAAATATTTTCTTAAACTTACTTTAAATTAAATATATTTCAATTTATTTAAATATATTTCATTTTTCTTGATTTTATTCTATATTATTTCATTTTATTTTTTGTTTTATTTTTTTTATTTTATTTTATTTTATTTTATTTTATTTTATTTTATTTTATTTTATTTTATTTTATTTTATTTTATTTTATTTTATTTTATTTTATTTCATTTCATTTAAAAAAAATTTGTTTTAATTTATTTTATGTTATTTTATTTTTCAATAATTTATTTAGTGTAATTATCTTTTATTTTTTTCGTTTTTATTTTATTTAAATTTGTATTATTTTATTTATTTTTATTTAATTTTATATTATTTTATTTCGTTATTCTGATTTTATTTAATTTTTATTTGATTTGTTTTAATTTTTTTATACATAATATTTTTTGCTATATATATATATATATTTTTTTTTTTAATATTTTCACTGACAACGTCCACTGTAGTAGTGTGGCGATGGCACACGACGTATTGTGGCAAAGTGCTGTGCTTGTTCTTGTTGATATTTTTGTTGCTGTTTTTGCTTGTTTGTGTCGCTTTTCAATATTTTCGGATTTATTTTGCAAAGTTGTACTGATATTTGTTGCTGTTGTTGCATTGTTGCTATTATTGGCAGTGGAGTCAATTGTGTGGGTAGTAGTGTTCGTAGTTGTGGTTGTTCTTGTTGTAATTTTCGTGTTTGTTGATTTTGTTGTTGTTTTACTGACAACACTTCCGCTTGCATTGAACTTAGTTTTTGTTCATTTATTAATATATTACTTGTCGGTTGTTGTTGGTTTTGGTGTTGCTGATGTGGTCACACGGTCGTCTCATCATCATCAATGTTCCTCCTATTAGCGTTATTGGAATAAAATAAGTTAAATATTATATATATAATACATATATTAAATATAAGTAAAAAATGTAAATTTGTTTTTGCTAAATATGTAGATATTAATTCATATTCGTTGTGGGAAAAAGTTAATATTAAACTAATGGGGATTTTTATGTGTGTGTATTAGTATTGTGTTATTACACGTGAGCTAAAATAAATGACAGTGGCGTAAGTCTACATTGAAGAATAAAATTGTATAAGCTACGAATTTTCAAATATCAAGTGAAATATTAAAACCATTAATTAAATTAATGATAAAAGTGAGTTTGTTGAAAGGAAATAAATTAAATAATTTTGTAATCTATTTCAAATTAAAATAAAAAAAAAACACCCTTAAACTTCTTTTCTTACCACAAGTAAAGAATTGAATTTAAATTAAAAATTATTTACCTGTTAGTGTATTTGGTCACATAAAGGGTTAACCATTTCGTGGTTTTGAAAGTACAATGCTATATATTGTGATAACGGACAAAGTTAACTGTTAAACCAGACTTGATTTAATTTCGCCAAAACTTAGGCCCAAGGCATTAAAATTGTCAAAAACTACTACAAAGATGATGATTAAGAAGTGGCCACGTTTCGTGCTTTAAGAAAATATTATGGTGCACATAATCGTACAACTATGTGACTTCTCAAGCAATTGGTAAAATCTGAAAAAAAAAATGTGAGGACACTGGATTGTTTGACAGATATTTTAAAGCCTGGGCAAAATCGACTAGCTCGTTCGTTCTCAAGAGCTGCGATATTCTATGACGTATTTTTCAATTGGACTTACACCAACAGCCACATAAAGTCCAGTTCGTACAATTACTAAAGCCAGCTGACTATTCACAGCAACATACATACAAAATTATCTACAGCGGCGAGGCACATTTCTCAATCGAGGGATATGAAGGAATTGAAAATACTCAAATAATTGGGTTTAAGCGCGCGATAAGCAAGACGCCTTCATAATATTTTGGACACACCCTAATGCGCCTTTGGCCTATATAAGCCGTGCTTGCCAAACAAACCAGTGAGATTTCATATCAATACAACGGCAAGCGCGCACGGGGCGAGAATATTTAAAGTCAAGATAAATTTATATATGATATCAACATATTCATTTATGCCTGTGTAAATATAATTGTTAATAAAAACTTTGTATAATTAAAACAAACAGTTGTCAACAAAGTGCATTTTATAAATTATTGTTAATTTAATTAAAATAAACATTGTACACAAAACTCTAAACGAATACGCGAGTGACTATTTATTTATTTCGCAAGAACTCGAAGAAGGTACCTCGCGTGAACAAATTGAAATTGAATTGGTCCGAAAACCAACACTCGTCACTTTATGGCTGTGAAGCCGCCCAATGAGTGCCAAAATGTGATCGAAAATTACCTCAAACGGATAGAATCTTTGATGAATTCGCGAGGCAGTTCATTCGCACATATACAGAGTTTCACATATATGTAATGCTAAAGTTCAAATTTTCTAATTAAAAATGAATTTTCAGGAAAAATGTGATTTCAAAAGCGTTTATATTTTTGCATTGAATATTCTTCAATTTACGCCGTGATTTAAAAATAATTGCATCTGCATTTTCGAAATAATAACCTCAAAACCTGATTTTGTAATGGTTAATTATGTTACACTACAAATATTTTAATTTACTACAATATTTTGAAATTATTTTAAATTGTGTTTTCAAACATAAATCATTGAATATTTCATTTCATGTGCAATTGAATTTGCATCACTTTCATTTACCTTAGCTCATGGAGTTCGAGTTCTAATATTGAAGGCTATGCATTTTCATACAAACAAATCTATTACATATTTTTGCTATAATTTTTTTTTTTAACAAATTAATTTTTTTTTTTTTTGGATTTTAATTCATTTCACTAGCCATCAACCGTAATAGTGTAATAATAAATGCCAAAAATTTTAAATACTAATGCATTATGCCCAATAACTAGTTAACCAATGCACAGTACAAAAGCAACAAAATATTCTTCGATGTGGAATTTTGGCAATTTGTTTAATGGTAGTTTGTGCAAATTTTGGGCATTAAATGCAGCTACATGCTGATTGTATTTATAATGTGCTAACAACAACAAATTTCGATTTTTACAAATTTTCAATTACTCATCATACATCTCTCTCTCTCTCTCTCTCTCTCTTTCTCACCTTTGTAGCATTTACTAATTATAATTATTATTTGTTAGCTAAATAAATTGGGTTTTATGATTTTATGTGAAATGCGCACACACATTGAAATGCTAGTTATGTATGTGTGTATGTACGCTTGTATGTGAAAACTAAAATTTGCATGCTAATAGTGATTAATTTCATCTAAAACTACAGTTTTTAGTTGGTTTCCTTTAATTGAATGATTATTATTGGAAATAAATAAAAAATTAAAATGATGAATGGATTTCTCGTGGATATTTGTGTTTTAAATATGTTAATGTTCATATGTAGATAATGTGTATGTATATGGCATGTATGAAGGTTATTTATTAAAAGCATGGAAATTTAGCTTACTCGTAACTACAATATTTTGTATAATTGAGAAATATGCTTATTCTACTGATAGTACTAAACGTTTATGTTTGTATATATGTGTACACGTGTATATGGGGTATATGTTATATATGTGTCTTTGCGCATGGCTGACTTTAAATGTTATTTATTAGAGATAATTTAAATTTATTTTATTTCGAATGTCTGTACGCTGGTTGTAGAAATTTGCAGGCAGCAATTCACTGCTTTATTTGAAGCATAATAAATTACTAAAGGGTTATCCACTTTGTGGTTTCGAAAATAAAAGCGAACGAAATGCATTTTATATAATTTTTTATCATAAAACTCCTTTTCTTTTATAAAGCTTGAACCTTGGATATGTGAAATACTACACGGTGCGCCAAGTCGACCTTAGATGCTTCAGGAATGAATAACTCTGCCGGTTCCTGATGTTTCAGAATCATGCTTCTTTGTAGAAATCGATCAAAAACCAATTGAGTTTTTCATTGCTGAATTACCGAAGGTTTAGATGGCGCACACTGCACATCAATCAAATGACACCCTTGCGAACTCTTTGAGATAAAATTTTACCAGCTTTTGTCACATATAGGGCGTTAACTTAGCCATAACTTGAGGAATTATGGTTTTCATGTGATCAAGAATTAAAGTGTTATCCACATAAGAAAGGCCTTTCGCAGAGCATCACAAAAAAAAGATTCCAACAGTGTCAAATCGAGCGATTTTGGTGGCCAATTGACATCGCCAAGATTCATATTTCTCTCGAAATAAAAACATATTCGCTCGTGCTGTGCAGCACCTGAAACCAGCTTGTTGAAACCGGATATCTTGCCAGTCATGTTCTCTCTCAAACTGTTTTTTAAATTTTTACCAATTGCATGAGTTGTACGATTACAACACCATAATTTCTACTGAAAGCGCGAAACGTGGGCAGGTTTGAGTTACCATTTTTATAGTAGATTTTGAAAAAGTCAGAGCGTTGTGCGGTTTTTAAGCGATTCATTTTCAGAAATGCTTGGCTTTTGACCAAAACAAAACATGTTTAATTTGGCGCTTAAGTTTGACAGATTTCAAAATACAGCCTTGTACTTTTGATATCACCAAATGGATAACTCTATGTTAATAAATTATTAGCATTCAATTGTGGGTACTTCTTGGTTGAGCTTATTTTTACAATTTTGAGTAGTTATCAAGATGTTTGGTTTAAAAATAACTCCGATTTTATGCCAATGGAAAATATATTTTGCCTGCCATTTTAAAGAGTTTTAATTCACACTAAAATATTTTTTTTATCAAAAGGAAAGTGTGCTTGACTACTGAGCCTGTTTTGATTTTTTGAAGCAAGACCTAACTTAAATTGTTTATAAGCAACTCTTCAAAAAGCTCTCCTTTTAGTCTACTGGGACTTTCAATTTTTGCCTTTTGACGGATGGTTTAAGAAAACAATACAAATATTACTTTTAAACTGAAGGAAAAATGTCTATTTTATTTTGATTCGTTTCTTTTTTTGTATAATTTTAAGTGCCATGTTGTTGTTTCAAAGCAATGGATTATGGAGGAAAATCTTTGGTACTGGAACACTTCCACCGTAGAACGAACCATAAAATGATTCAGAGGCGTACAGACTAAGCAGCTGAATTAAGTTAAATCTAAGCAAACACGAACTTAGTAATCTTGTGGGTATATTGTTAGGGCATCCACCCCTGAGATATCAACTTCACCACCAGGTAAAGTAGAATCGGTTAGGTGCAGAGCAGCCGATTGAGGCCGTTGGGTACCACTTGAGACCTCAGACCATGTGGTATTCTTTCGTGTGATGCTTTTAACCCTTGCTGGGGATAATTTTAAAAGCTGTTCAGCTATATACTGCTGTATGTCAGTGATATTGATACCATTGCCCTTGACAACGCCTTGGATATTTCTCTAGCAACAAATTGGTCAACTTTCAAAACGTACAACTAAATAAAAAAAATGCGTCCAATATTCCAGTTTTTCCTGTTATCCACCTTAGAAACCTCAACTTAAAGGACATAAAAGCGTTATTTTTATAAGCGACTATTTTAAGGACAATAAGTTTATAAAGGACTGTATCACCTAGCAATAGAATACAGCCAACAAATAATACACAAAATAGAATATTTTTATTTACTAATTTTAATTTTTAATTTTAACTTTTTACATTTTATTACGTATTTTTTAATTTAGCAATTATAACTTTACTAATTTACTGTCATATTTATTTTAATTATTAGCTGATACAATTTTAAGTATTTACGTCTAGCTTTATTTTAAAATCTACTTTATTAATTAGTTATTATTTTTAAAATTTTTTAGCTTTAAATTTTACTTTGTGCAGAATAAGAAACAGAAGCTAAATCTGTAACAGTGCAAATTTCGCTAGCAAGAATAATTAGATATTTTGAAAATATTTGCAAATTGTCTCATTTGTTTTTGTGTTCTAGTTTTCAACTACTTGTACCAGATTGTCAGAGACCAGGGATAACGACGACGCCAACGATGCAGCCAAATAATGTCCAACTGCAAGTGTGTGAGTTAATGAGTATGAATTATATGAAATATTGTTTCGTTATATGTATGTATGCTTGTATGTATGTATTGGCATAATGTATAGGAGTGTTGTTATTAATGGCACGAATGAGAAAAAATATTTTTTTGGAAAAAAAAAAAATAAAAATTAATGATTTAAAAATATATATAAAAAGGAAACATTTGAATAAAGTTAATAAAATAATAAATATATATATAGTATATATAATATAACAAATAATAAATTCAAAATTTTTTCTTATTGATTTATGTCTTATTTTTGAAATTTCCTGTTGAAAGAAGACCAAAGTAAGAAAAAATACAAAATTATTTCTGAAAATCCCTCCATCACTTAAAACCATGTAAGACCTCTTATTTTTTCAATTTCTTTTTTATTAACAGTTTGAAATTTCAAAATAAATTGAATTTTTTAAATACAACTATTTGGCTTTCATTTTCAAAAACTTACTATGCAGCAATGAAAATAATAACAAATATTTTTAATTTTAGTTTTCACTACCAAAACTGCCTTTAAGCCGTCGACATAACATAAAAGAAGGTAAAACTTTCATAAACGTAGAGAAAAAATATATCAAATTAATAACCAATTTTTCGGGTGAATAGAAATGTTTTGAGAAAAGGAGCAAAAAATATTCGACAAATAAAAAAATATAAAAAATTAAATACAATAAATAGAAAAATTTACAAAAATGATTCACGTACAGATAGTTAATTAAAATGTGCTACACTTTTATAAAAATCAAAAAAATAATAATGAAAATAAAAGTAAAAGCAAAAATTGCCAACCCAATAATTAATATATTTACATAATCAATTTGGCATTTATGCATTTTGAAAACATTTTTGAAAAAAAATGGAGTAGATGCAAATGCAAAAATATATAGATAGATAAAAAATATAATATTTATATACAATTAATACAATGGAAATGAAGTGATTTTTTAATGAATACTGTATTTGTGTACCGTTAGTTGAAAATAAATTTCTAATGATTAGTTTTATTGAATGTAGAATATGAATAATGAATTGTTTTACCTCTGAGCTGCATTGATTGTTGTTGTTGTTGTTGTTGTTTTTGTACAGTTGTAATTGTTGTTATTTAAAGTTGTTGTGATTTTTGGATGAAAATGTAGAGAGTAATTTAACAGGACACAATAGTTGGTAGTTAAAGCGTATTGTTGTTGTTCATAGGTATATTTTGTTAATGGAAATATTAGTGGTTTGTTGTTGTTTGCAGAGTTATTAGCATTGTTAGCAATTGTTGTTGTTGTTGTTGTTTTTCGCCAAAAAAAAGTTTCAGCGTTATAGTTTATCGTCATGTAGTTAGTAAAGACATTTTTGTGTTGTATTTCAATTGTATGTATGTATGTGTAAATGCAAGCGTGCATATGTATTGGATGGCAAAGAGTTTGTTATTTTTATCATGGGTTTTGGTTTTTTTTTAACATCATTTATTCATATCGAATTTTTTCATTTCAAATATTTCATATGTAACATACAATTTGTGTGGTTGTAAATCGAATTGATGGTGGCATTTTTTATATATATATATTTTTATAATATAAGTTGTTGTGACATTTATGAAAAATTTTATTTTTATTTTTAATAATGTTCATGCGCCATTTATCCATTGTGTGGTTGGGTTGAAATTGTGGCGATTTTTATTAATTATTTAATTTATTATTAAAATTTTTTTTTATATATTGAAAAATTTAATAATTTAATATGATTGAATTTTATATTTTTTATATATATTTTAAAATACGCCATTGTTTGGAATTTCAAAAAATTTGTAAATTGTATGATTTTTTAATTTATTTTACATCAATTAATTATATTATTACATTTTTTTTAATTTATATAATTTTAATACATTTTTTAAAAAATGTAAAATTTATTTTAAATAGAAAAAAAATTATGTTAAAAGGTTTTTGGATATATGTTTATTTAATTTAAGGTTTTATTTTAATAAGTAATTTAATTTATTTAAAAAAAACGAAATTGTTGGCAATTTTTCAAATTATTTTAGGAAATTTGTATTATGTAATTATATTTTAATTTTTTTCCAAATTAAAAAATATATATTTTTTGAAATTGTATTTTTTTATTTTACATTGTTTTGAATGGAGAAAGCAAGAAATTCATTTTTCAAATTTTGATTGGGTGTTTGGAATTTTTTTTTAATTTTATAATATATATTTCCATATTATTTTCGAAAGAAATTTAATTAGATATTTTTTTTATTTATTTTTAATATTATTTTATGATTACATTATTTCTCATCAATTTATGTTAAATAAAATAATATAAATTTTTAACATATTTTGAAAAAAAGTTAAATTTTTTTATACACAAATTTTTAAAAATATTTTTTTATAAATTTTAAAATTTTGAAAATACAAAATTGGTTGCAAGTTTTGAAAAAGATTAAAATATATAATGTTTTCATATATTTTTTTAAACATATTAAAATATATATTTTATTTGGAATTTATATTTATATAATATTTTATATTATATTATATAAATAAATATTTAAAAAATTTCAAACATATTTTAAATGGAAACAAATTTCGGCATTTTATTTATTTATTATGTATATGATATTTTAATTTAATTATTTTATTTTTGTTATTTTACATTAATTAAAATTAATATATTTCCAAAAAAAAATTTAAACATATTATGAAAAAAAAAATAATATATGTTAATTATTAATATTTGAAGTTTATTCATTTTTATTAAAATTTCAATTTTTATAAAATCCCAATTTTTTAGAATATCTCATATTTATTTTTTAATATAAGAAATTTTTTTTTAAATATTTTTTTATATTATTTTGCATGTATTTATATTAATAAATTTACATTAGAAAAATGTATTTTTTAAATTATTAATTGTTTTAAATTTAATGCATTAATTTTTAAATGTTTTCGTGCACACATTGCGTGCAATGTATATTGAGAATATTCCAGTTAAAAATTTTGCGCCCCAAGCGAGTACCATTTTTGTTGTTGTTTTTGTAATTTTAAATTATATTTTATTTCAGTGTCATTTGTTTAAGGTGTTATTATAGCCACAGGCGTTGTCAGATCATCAATTCCCATTGTTGTAGTTTTTTGTATGTTATTGCATTTCATACATACACATATTATTTTTATACATTTCCATTTTCATTCGCATTTGCAACGCGCATGCCAACATTTGCATTTTTACCCAAAATTCGCCGAATTTATTTTTGCATGTGGAAAATATAGAAAATTGTAATTAGATTTTCTTTAGGCGTTCCCATGACCATCTGTGCAAATTTAGTATTTTTTGTTGTTGTTTTTTAAATACATTTAAATATATTTATTTTGTATTTTTTTTTGCATTTTTTGTTTCATTTTTGAATTGCGTTAGCATAATTACATATTATGTTGGGATTGCGGTAATTGTGATTATGGCCAAGGTTGTTGTTGGTGTATTTGGTGTTGTTGGTTGTTTGGTTGATAGGTTAAGTGGTTGTTGTGTGGATGGCAAAGTAAATTAGCATAAATGGCGAGTGCAGTTTTTTTGCGGATATAATCAGCGTAAGTTAGTATTTATGTATGTGTACGATTGTATGTGCGTGTGCAAGGAATGAAGTCCAGGTTTAATTGTAATATAAATATTAATTTTAAACATAATAATTTTTTTTTTAAATTTTTTTTATTAATTTTTTGTACGTTCGTGCGTTATGTGTTCGTCACAAATAGTCGTTTACAGTCACAAATCGGTTTTGTTGTGTTTTAATGAGCGTTTGTTTTTTTGGGTGGAAAAAAGGAGAGAAAAAATAGAATGAAAAGTTATTTGTATTAATTAAAGGAAGTTTTTTTTTGCAGTTGTTGTGAAGGATTTGTAGGTTTGATTTTGTTTTTGTTTACTTTCATTTTGCTTTAATGATTTATGATGGAATTTCAGGCTAATTTTTTAATCAATTATTTATTATAAATAGACACCAATAAGCGTAAATATACGAGGGGATTTACAAAAGTCGGGTCAGTTAAAAGTACCAAATCCTTAGCAATTACTTTATCGATTTTAATTTCAAATTTTATAATGATCGGCTGAAATGGAGACGTGAATACGCAAAATAGCTGAGAATAGGTCAGACGAAATGATACCATAAACGCAAACGGAAATTATCCATGTGATTGTCTTTTGCGGTTTCAGCGTAATTTACGATTGTACCGCTTTTAGGGACTATTTCTAATTGGTTCCAATGATAACAGACCGGACACTTGCCGTGGAGAATGAGCCGCGAGAATATCGACCAAAATCTTCCACTTATGACGTCACTGCTGCTCTCAATATAAAATTGTACGAAGACCCATAATTGACACAAGATATGATTACCCATGAATTGGGCTTGAATGCCATGGCTGTGTCGCGAAGAAATCTAATCGATAGTTATTTAAAAGAAGCCCAAAATGAGGCTCGAGTACATTTTGCTCAATTTTTCCTAAGCCAATTCAAATGGTCAATCTTTATATATACTTTAATAAAGTTATTACCGGTGCCGAGTCTTAGTTCTATAAGCACAATCCAGAATCCAAACAGCAGTCAATGCTATGGAGCCCAACAGGAGCAAGCCCAACCGTAAAATCTAAGCAAAAAATCAGCATCAAAAGAAATGATGTCAGTTTACTTCCCCGATTTAAAAACGTAGCTTAAATTCCACTGAGAAAGGGTCAGATGGTACACCGAAGATTGCTTACCAAAAGTTTCCAAAAATTTGTTGGAAAACAGAAAGAAACAAGATTTGTGGCGCTACTTTTTGCATCATGACAACGCGCCATCCCGCACTGCTGGAATAACGAATAATTTTATTGCGATCTCTGGATCGAATATATACATCCGGCAGCATATTCCACGGATGTAGCAACTTGTGATTTCTGCTTATTTCCAAAAATGAGGAAAACTTTAAAAGGAACGGTCTTTAATAGCAATGATCAGTGCGGTTAATGCTGAACTTGTTAAACCTAAAAAACAAGGTTTTCATGACTGTTTTCAGAAGTGGATCTAAAGGCTTAAGAAATGCCTTAAAATCAATGGCGATTACGTAGAGAAGATAAAAAGGGACAAAAATTGCGAATAAATGCGAAAAGAACTTTTTTATTTGGTCAGATTACCGATTTTTTGTTAATCTCCTCGTATATGAAATAAATAATTTATTAATACAAATGTATATATAATAAGTAAATATTTTTTGCATATATACTCACAGAAAAATATATAAACGTGTATTTGTTATAAATGCAATTTATTTTAAAAGCGTAAAATTTTGCTGCATAAAAAAAGGAAAAAAAATTGTTTGCAACGGAAAAGTGAAACGACTTCCTTCCGCAGGCGAACAAATTTATTGAAAATGAAAACAAACTAGCCAAAAAGCTTAATTTTTTTATTACCGCTATACGCGATTTGTCTCAGTGAAAAACCGAAAAACTACAATTTATAAAAAATTATAAAAAAATAAAAACAAATTGTGCAAAAACAATGCCGACAGCCAGTTATGAGCGCTGATTTATAGAGGATTAAAGGTTTTTCATTAGCAAAATTGTTTATTAAAAAAATTGTGTAAATTAAATTATTGCTGCAAAAAATAAAAAAAGTATTTTTTTTTTTGGTGGAAAACTTCACTCAGTATGAACATATATATGTTTTGAATAAATTTTTATGCTAAATTGCGAAATGGCCTTGGTGAATTTGCAGAATTATTCACTGCTTTAATGATCTTTTAAATCATATACTGGTATAAGAATTTCGCTTTCTTAGAGAAAATGACGGTTTGGCATTTTGTTTGAAAAATGATTTCGATCCAGTGAACGCTGCACGAATAAATTCTACCCGAAAGACCCAATTCCTCTTAGCAGCAGTAAGAGTGTTATGCCAGAAGCAACGTACCGAAGGCATCAACCGTCTCGGGTTTAACGACGTTTCCATATAACCAAAAAAAAAAAAAAAAAAAAATAGTCTACGACGCGAGATTATGAGCTCACCTAAAGTTACTTTCAATAAATTGATTATTTCGTTGGTATAGTGTTTTGTCAAAACCAAAGGTCGTCCACAGCAACATCTACCAATTTAGTTACAAAATTCGTTAATTATTAATTCTATAATGCTCCCAATTGGCTCTAACATTACGTTCGGGTTCGTTTTTGAAGAAATGTGGACTAATGATTCCCTCTGGCCATAGAGCATATCAACCAATGACTTATTGAGGATGTAACAACTCCTCGATAATGAATTGTGAATAATCATCGCTCCAAATGGAACAGTTTTGTCTATTAACGTACCAAAAAGTGAGCTTCATCGCTGGAAAAACTTCATTGTGAAAATTGGGATTGGTGACCAACTTATTTTAGATACAATCACCGAATGTGTGACGCGCTTGATGATTGCTCGGCTTCAATTCTTAAGCAAGCTCGATTTTGTATGACCGCATACCCAGATCCTACTTCAAAATCTTGCATAAAGTAGATAGTCACAGCTCCAAATGTTGTGCGCGATGGCGATTGGACTCATTCGGAGCTTCACTGTTACTCTGCTCTACTGAAGCAATGTCTTCGGTGCACAATGTACGGCGAGTCTGAGGATGTGCCTTATCCATTAGAGTAAACTTTAGCCGAATTTTGATATAAAATTTGCTGTATTTAAAAACGGTGCACCGTGAGATGATATCAAACTTTTTTTTTTGCCTAAAACGCATGAGCTCGACTTGCAAGGCAGGTGGTTTCAACAAGACCACAGTGCGGCATGCCACACAGCAGACGTTTTATTTCACATTCGGAACCTGTCAGTTGGCAGCCAAGATCGAGCAAATTTAACGCCTATGGACTATTTTTTGTGCGGGTATGTTAAATCTAATGTCTATACAGACAAGTCCGCTTCAAGAGTTGATTAGAGTATGCCAAAATTAGACTAAGCGGATGGACCATTTGAGGCGCAGGTTCCGGCGACTAGAATATGACGCAAGTTTGGTGTAAGAACACTTATTTGAACTGGGTCGCTGTTACCGCACTATGGAGAAAATTGTGCAGTAAAATACAGCTGGTGATGCAAGAATTTATGACACACTTTCCGTGAATGGGCGCCGGAAAACTTGGTTTTAGATTCACTTTATTTTATTTAAGCGCGATGATTGCTTTTTTATTTGACTATCACAAGAGAGAAGCCAATACAAAAAATATATAGAGTGCGCCATCTATGCTGGCAAAGATCATGGAAAATGCCGAGAGAAGAGTGAAGTTTTGATGGCTAGAAAAAATTGTAAGGCTTTATATTTGATAATAAAAAAAAAGTTTGTTAGAATTCATTGAAAATTCGTTAAGTTATGCAACACCTCCATTGACCATAGACATATTAATTATTAAGAAAAACTTTAATATTCACTGCATTATGTTTGTTTGAGCTAAAACTCACCACATTAATTTATGTTATTTTAAAATTTATGTACAATTTTTTAAAGAAAATTTTTATTTACTTAAAGTTTTTTTCAGCGAAATCGTTTCACTCTCCATTGCAAACCAAAATAAGAAAAAGGCGACCACAGAAATGCCAAATACTACTATGAATATTGTACAGAACACCGAGTAAGCAGTAACGAGTAACGAGTAACTAAATCATCTAATCACTATTAGTACAACCCTAACCCCAAACACCACTTGATTACTCACTCTGTATCCGTTATGCTGGTGAGCGGCGCCAACGGTTGCATCGGCGCCACAATACTCGACGGCGGCGAACTGGCACGCGAGCCATGACGCGAACTCGAATTCAACGTATGCCTGCCCAGCATACCGGGATTATTCATATCGTTCCCCACATGACCGTGCGCGTGGCCATTCAACATTTGATGCGAACTGTGCAGGGAAGGTGAGGGATTATGCTGATGACTGAGTTTACGCGCTGCGGGTATATGATCCTCTTCGGCAGTGTAGGGAAAATGATAACCATTCTTATCCGAACCCTCCGACATGCGATCCGAGTGGTAATCAGCTGATGGCGTTTGATGTTGATGTTGCTGTTGTTGGTGTTGCAGGTGCTGCTGATGTTGTTGCAGTTGATGTTGACGTTGTTGTTGTGCTTGATAGTCATTCTTCAAGAGCGAATGCACCGAATGCATTGAATCGGCAGCGCCCACGTACATATGTGGCTTCTTGAGGCTATAGTGATTCTCACGCGAGCCATAAATATCGGGTGCAATACGTTCTTTGGACATATAAGGCGATTCCGCTTTCGGACCCATGTAGCCGAGGGTGCGCTGCTTGTCATATATGCTATCGCTGAGATAAGCGGCGTCTGGATGGAAGGAGCGCATGTGATTAACGATTTGTGTGCCACCATTACCGCCATTTCCGCTTCCGCTACCACCACCAGCACTGCCACCACCGCTGCCATTATAATCCTTTTCGCTGCCATAATGACTCGGCGGCTTGTAGTTGCCAGCCACGGGCAGCGTGTCGAATTGGCCATAACTGTCGGGATACTCCTTGCGTCGATAGAGACTCTCATGCTCGAGCCCATCATAACCATTGTCGTTGCGCACATTCTGTAGGTTCTCCAAAATCGAAGGTGGCATATTGATTTTATTGTGATGTTGTTGCAGGTACGAGGTATCTGTGAGGTCCGGATTAGGTAGTGGATTCGGTGATATGGTCACTTTTTGGCCATGTACATGCTCATTATCTGAGCCGGTTTCCTGTGACCAACGTCCGACATTCGGCGGTGATTGGAGGTAAGCATCGGGCAGTTGACTTGACCAACGTGGTGCATAGACGGGCTTATTTACGCTCGGAAAGAGTTGTGGACTTTGTACGACATTCAATTCGGGCGGTGTTGTCGCCTGTACATGCTCGGTTATGTTGGGCAGGTATGAAGGTGTAGCGCTCACGCCGGTACTACGATGTGTGCCTGAAGAGCGCGCTGTACGCGACTCATCGTCATCACTGGAATGACTGGAAGCCAGCTCCAGTGAACGTCCATCTGTTTCGGAGCCAGAATCGGAGTCTTTACGATGACGGCGTGATTTTTCTTCACGACGACCGCCACCACCACCACCGCCACCGCCGGTGGAGGATTCGAAACCGCGTAGAAAGCTCGGCGCATCACTGGCAGAGTTATAGTTCGAGGTGGAGGTGGAAGTCTGACGTAATTGGCCATCACTGAAAAGAAAAGTATTTAAAATGGAGATTAGAGGATAATAGTTTCAGTTTCACTATGTAGCATATCCTCGTCCGCCTAAATTTCTGTGTATGAAACTACCCGTTACTTACCTATACGGACTGGAACTCGTCTTAGCTGTGCTTCTCGATGTAGTACTCGAGACACTGATACCCACATTCCTCCTCGCTGTATCATAGCTACCCGCCAGGAAATTGTTCGGTCTCGTCGCGCCATTCACATTGTGCGAACTATTGCTGACGACCAACGACGAGTCCAATAGCGGCACTTTCCGTCCCATGCAACGCAGAAAAGTGCGTTGCAGATTCTCTCGTACACGCTTATTAATAATACAATAACCAATGAGACAGAAAATGGAATGTAGCACGACCACACCCGAAAGTAGGATACTCAGCATCTGTGAGTTTTCGGAAGCAGCCAAAACAGCCAACACCCACATGACACCCATCAGCGGCAGCGAGACGACAGACAACCACAGCAACGTGCGCAGATTGCCAAATCCGAGTACGTGATCTTTGAGTGTGAAAGCAGCTTTCACCGATACAAAGAGTATAAGGAGATTCACCACCGACATGCCAGCAATGGGACCGACAAGCCACCAAACAACCGGTTCGTAAACGGAAAGCCAACAGCTGTACCGAGTGAATAAATAAATATGGAAAACAAATTAGTTATGCAAAACAATAACAGTGCTCATCAGGGTTCAATTTGTATGGAAATACTCACAACAAACTATTGCCATATTCGTGTGCCCGCACGCCCACCGACAGTCCGACCACAATGGCCGGCGCACCATAGCCCATGGCAAAGTAGAAACCCATCGGTCCATGGTTGATGTCACGCATTTCGGTCAGCATGCGGTAGAGATGCACACAATCGACCGTTGTCCAGGCGAAAGCCGCGAGCCAGAAGTAATGCAAACAAATGGCTATGAGCTTGCAGGGGAATTCATTTTCGAGCAGATTGCGACGTGACTGCATGCCAACGAAGAAGAGCAGCTCGGCGCAGAAGACGCAGAGCACAATATTCTGGTGTATGGTATTCGAATTGGTCTGTTGACCGCGTAGCAAAGCCAGAGCGATGAGCACGCTCAGCAACACAGGTAGCGAGACCATGAACGCCGAATACGATGTGATTTGTACCAACAGTGAAGGCTCTGGTATATCTTCGGGATCGATGATGTCCACAATAACGGCGTAGTTGGAGATATGTGTGCAGGTACAGTTCACAATGATGGGTTGACCATCGAGTGGCAGCTCATCAAAATCGGGCACTTCTGTTTGACAGCCAAGTCGCGTCCATTGACTTGTGAACGAGTTCCAACGCACACATTGCGGATTGGAGCGGGGACCGAAACGTGCGGGCTCAATATCCAGCCACATTTGTAGTTTGATGGGTTGTGAGAGATGTGGCGAGCCGAGCGAACGATATATGACATTCTTTTGCATCTCTTGCTGCTCAGAGGGGTAGATAACTTCGACTTGCCGCTTAACGAGCCTTCGATTGCGATAGATGGCTTCATTTTCTCCCTTCTGCTGCTCCTCGCTGGTAGCAACGTCAAAATGCGTGTTGCCCACTTCGGGCGAGTCCACCACCTCTTCGCCTGTGTCACCGTGGAACTCGATGTTATCGTCGTCAAAGCGCACACTAATATGGGGCTCCTCACCGCCGTCAATGCCTACCTCGGCAGCTTCGTTGCTTGTCACCTCGACAGAGGCTTCTTGTGAGCTCGTAGCTGGCGCTGGTGGCATTATTTCGTGTGCTGTTATGCGAATATTCTCAATCATATGTTCTTCACTGCCGCTACTGCTTGTCTTCGGCACATCGAATACCTCGATGAACTGCTGTTCGTTGGAGCTGGTTTTCTGCGATGAAATCTTGCGGTAAGGTATTTCCATACGTTTCTCCTCGGTATCACTGGACGGCACGAGTATGGCGAGTGAGAGTATGGGCGTGGCCACTTCGATGTCGACACCCCAACGTCGTGTGATTGTCTCGTCATACATATCGGGTAGCAGTTGACCGACATCTTTGTACTGTGCGTAAGAGACGATCGCACGGTAGTCGTTTGCGTTTTGCGTCACCTCATTGCTGCCTGGTGGCGTAATACCCAACATATCTAGAGGCACTAAAACCTTGGTGAATTTATCGAACTTCGTTTTGTCTTGTATGTAATTGTTGTATTTGGGAAAAGTAATGACGGGCTTTTGCTTCGAGGAGTGCTGTAGAAAGCCACTGGTGTCCGGCAATATCACACTCTCTGTGGTGTATGCATTCAGCTTGAGATTGAGTTTCGCTCTGTGATATTCACTTAGCTGCTCAGGTTCGTAGCCAAAGAGTGATTCCGTTGTGATAATATCTAAAGCGAAGATCATATTCCGTTGTACGATCTCGAATGGGTTTGTGTAGGTGTCATGCTGTGAGCTCGCCAACACCACCATATATTTATTGAAGGCATCCACCAAATCATCGGGTCCGCGTTGTATTAACTCGGTGGCTCGTTTCCATTCGGCGGCATATTTGCGATCCAAGATAACACTTGCGGCATCGACGAGGTTCTTAATGAAGTACTTATCTTGGCTGTGTGTGAGATTTAGACCGTTCTGTGTGAGTTCGTAGTTGATGAGCTCTTGTAATATACCTTCAGTTACGAGGAGATCAGCGCCGTAGAGACGATCGTGCGTAAACTTGAGCTCGTCTGAAAGATAATCCATCTCCAACTCATTAGACCACATGTTGTTGCCTTCGTTGAGTAGGAATGAAGACTCCATCTTATACCGCCGGCTGTCTTTCACTAATTTTTTCTTCACAGCACTAGAGCGGTCCACAGTCTCGCAGGCCAGTTGCAGATTTTCCACCATCTTGATGGCTACAAATGAATTCAACTCCAATTCGAGCTTCTCCAGTTGTGAAAGTTGTTTGCGTAGCTCGACGAAGGGATCTGAGGTACAGTTGAACATATCCGGTTGATTCCAACCACCTGACATACCATCGCAAGTGCGCTGCCCCTTACCTCGCGCCGGTGAAGGACAATTTTCCACAGTTGTGCTGCCGAGTGGCGTACGAGGCCACCAGATACCTGCAGCGAAGGAGCGCGGACACGCATCATAGACTACCTCGCAACCATTGAGCGTCACTTCAGCGTAGGGGTTGGAGCAAGAGTCACAGCGCCGTCCAATGACGCCCTCGCGACACTCACATTGACCCGTGAGACGATTGCATGCGCTGCTGAAAGAACCGATGGAGTAGCAGTCGCAGGGGATGCATGCTGTCTCATTTGGTGGTTGGTAGTGATTGGTTTTGCAGTAACACTGTCCTGTGGTTTTATTACAATCCGGGTGGTAGCCCTGTTTGAGGTTGCATTTGCAAGGCCCGCAAACCTTTTCGCCCCACCAGCCTCCTGGGCAGGGTTGTTGAACCGTCTTCTCACAATACTCACCATGCTGTAAGGCATTATTGCACTCACACTTATAACCACGAGGTTCACTGACATTTGCGAGGCAGACACCAGCCGTGCAAGGCTTGACTGTGCAAATGGGCATGCAATCCGGACCCACATAACCTGGCAAGCACTCGCAGCGTGACTCGTCCCATGTAGTTGTACAGGTTGAGTGTGGCGGACAGCTCTCCGGACATTCAGCGCGTGACACACAACCATCCTCGACATTCTCACGTATGGTGGGCCGCGACAGCACCGATTGTGAAGCGCCGATACGCACATTTTGTATACAACCCTCGAAGGGCAGCATATCCCCCACCGCACCAATCGAGCCATCAGCACTGCCAATAACAATCTTGCCCACGTAGAGACCTTGCACCTTTTGAGACATTGGCACGACACCAGTGCGTTGGCCATAATCCACTGAAAACTGTACCTCTGAGCCGAGCCATTTCACTTCGATGCGATGCCAGTTGCCGTCGGAGAGATAAGCGCCCGCCAAGTACATCGGCTCATTGTCGTATATGTAGTAGAGTATGCCATTCTTCAGGCATAGCACTGCCGAGCTGTTCTGACCAATTTGTATTTGTAGTAGAAACGCGTCGAGCTGAAGCGTGCGCATGGAAAGCGAAGTTACCCAAGGTAGTTGTATTGGACGCAGTAGTGGATTGAAGCTCAGACTGCCGTCGCCTGAGAAACGCCAAGGTGCGGGTATAGTTTCCTGGCATGCATTACCCGCATAGCCCTCGGGACACTCACACGTGTAGGTGTTCCAACCTTCGCGGCAGGCGCCGCCATTAAAACAAGGTTCCGAAGAGCAGAGCGGCGCCTTTTGTGGACAACCAGAGATCGTGCCATTATCAGCCACATAAGAGTTCAGATCTACGTAGCGTTCGTCGATGCGAAGGTCTGAGATGCAGCCAATGAAGTCTTGATTCTCCACCGGAAAGTGTGCAGGAATGCGTGGTAGCCCACCGAGTTGTAGTGGGCCCGTCAAATCCAAGAACCGGTGACAAGTTTCTGTGAGCAGTGCACAACGTTTGTCGAGTTTGAGTGTCGTCTGGTTGGCACAATTCCAACGATCGCCCAGATTGCCGGCCAAAGCAATTGCAGTATCACATTTATCCAGCACGAGAGTCACCGTGCGGTTGAAATATATGATCTCCACATCGTGCCATTCGCCGTCAGAGACTTTGGTTTGTTGTACAACGGACACACGCTGTTTGTTGTCGCCCAACGAGTATGAGAAACTCACATGGCCCTCAAGTATTTCCAGAGCGATGAAATCGTGGAGTTCATTGTAGCGACCATTGTACAACAATAAACCGTTATCATGTACTGTTGCAAAACGTAATTTCAGATTGAATCTGTGCCGCTGCTTGAGGCTCTCGAAGGTGAGAAACGAGTTCTTGGAGAACGAGCGTGAACGCAGCTCACAGGTCGCGGTGTAAGGAGGCGGTTGTGAGCTAAGGAATGAGTTCATGCACGAGTAACCACCATCACAGGCGTCGGACATGCAGGGTTTCAGCTTGGAAATATCCGTTTCACAATTCACACCGGTGTGTTTTGGCGAGCAGATGCAAGTGTAGCCACCTTCGCGTCGTACACAGGTGCCGCCGTTGCGGCATGGGTCCGAGTAGCATAGATCCACTTCTGTATCACAAAGATAATGCTCTTTGCTGCCGGTGAAGCCTTCAGGACAGGAGCAAGCGAAAGTATTCACAGGATAGATGGGACGGAAAAGGACGGTGTCGCTGTGAATAAACTCTGAAGCATTGCCGAATTTGAGTACTGTAAGACACTCTTCGAAATTGAGACATGGTTCACGTACACAAAGATTGTCATCGAAGGGCAGCACCTCAACTGTGGCAAGTCGCGCTAAGATAGCGCTGTTTAAATAGACACGCTCCTGCAGGTACTGTGGCGTATAGAACTCTTCGTGAGATACATCGGGTCGCTTTGCGGAGAAACTCACATTCAATATGCGCGTGGTGACATCTGTGTCATCTTGGATAGAGAAAACGAAAATGTTCTCCTTGGGACAGGGTATAATCGCGGCCAGACCATCGAGGAAAAAGTTTAGCAGCGGCGAAAGGAATGCCTCCTCGGTCATTTCGTTTAAGCGCACTGTAACCGAATTAAACAGCATGTCCTCGGTGATCAAACGCACAGACAGCTGCATAATCGCCTTCGCCTCGTTTATACCGTCCGAGACAGACACCTCCATAGTTGCAAATTTCGGAACATTCGTGTTCAGTTGTGGACTCAAAATCAACCCGCCTGAGGTGGTGTTCAAGCGTAGCAAATTCGCATTGTTGCCGGAGAGAATGCGATAAGTAAGCTTGTCGGTGACATCAGCATCCGTAGCAGGTATGCGACCAATCTCACCGCTCGGGAAATGGTCACGGAAGTTATTGAAGATCACTTGGAAGTCGCGTAGGACCGGCGCATTATCATTGACGTCCGTAACCAATATTTCCACATGTGCATCATTACGCAGCGGTGGACTCGCAGCGCGTATGACCAGCTCGAAACGTTTGCGATTGGATTCGTAATCCAACTCGGTCATTGTCAGCAGTTGAGCGCGCTCCGAGCCGGGACGTGTAACCAAAGAAAATGAATTCGAGTCATCACCGCCAATAATGGAGTAGTGCACCACAGCATTCACACCCTCATCCGGATCGTGCGCATGTATCTCACCCACAACCGAGCCCACGGGAGAATTTTCTGGTACGTAGAGTGTTATTTTGTCCGAAGGAAAGGTAGGCGGTGAATCGTTGACATCCTCCAATCGTATTTGCACCTCCACAGTGCTCGAAAGCGGTGGTGAGCCTTTATCGACGGCAATCGCGGTGAGATGGTAAGTGGCTACGCTCTCGCGATCTAAGCCCTTGTTAGTACGTATTGTGCCCGACGTCGGATCAATGACAAATGAGCCATCCTCTACATCACGATCGCTCAGCAGGTACTTAATGCGACCATTCAAACCAATATCGGGATCCGTTGCAGACACTTGTATCACCGAAGTGCCGACTAAGGCATCCTCCAGTATGGAAGCTTGATATAGTGGATTTTTAAAGATAGGCGGATTATCATTTACATCCGTAACACTTATCTCCACATCGGTTGTGTCACTCAGCGATGGGTTGCCGCCATCCTTTGCGGTGACGGTGAGTAAATAGCCACTTGTGGTCTCTCGATCCAAAAGTGCATTTGTTACTATTGCCCCGGTTTGTGGATTGATTGAGAAAGGATCCGGGCTACCTAAACCATTTATGCTTTCCTCGTTCAGCGAGTACGTGATCTGTGCATTAATACCTACATCACTATCCGTCGCAGAGACCACCAACACCGTGGTGCCTACGGGTGCATCCTCAAACACCGAAGCGCTGTAAGGAGCATTTTCAAAGATGGGTGCAAAGTTGTTGGCGTCCGTAATGTTGATATTTACAGTTGCTGTATCTGAGCGGCCGCCAGAGTCCGTGGCTGTAACAGTGAGCACAAAACGTTTCTCCTGCTTGTAGTCCAAAGATTGTGCTATGGTTATAAGGCCGCGACCATTTTGGGAGGTAATCGCAAAGCGACCACGCGTATTGCCGGAAGTGAGTTCGTAGTGCAAACGTGAGTCCTCATCCGGATCAGTAGCAGTGACTGTGACTACAGGTGTGCCGGGTGGCTGGTCCTCTCCCACATTGGCCTCATAATATTTCGGATTGAAAGTTGGATCATTATCGTTTACATCCTGCACCGTTATCACCACCGTTGAGCTGGCGGACTTCGGCGGCACTCCACCATCTTTTGCGACCACATGAAACGTATAGCGACTTTGCTCCTCACGATCCAAAGGCTTAATGGTCTGTACCCAGCCCGTACGTGGATCCACAGCTAATGGAAAATTATCGTCACGCTCGGAAATACTGTAAGCGATTTCAGCATTTGCACCCTCATCCGCATCATAAGCCTGCACGCGAATGATATTATAACCGACCGGCACATTCTCCAGCACAGACTCTTGAAACTGTGAGGTGTAGAAGCGCGGTGAATTATCATTTGCATCGATGACATTCACCAGCAATTGCGTAGTGTTACTACGCGACGGACTGCCGCCATCTTGCGCGCGTATCACCAAACGATAGCTACGCACGTTCTCGTAATCCAGCGGCTTGACAAGACTGACATCACCACTCATCGAATCGATTGAGAACTGCGATTGTGTATTGCCGCCAATAATTGCATAGCGTATCGCCGCGTTGTTACCTTGATCGGCGTCCGTTGCGCGTATATGTGCTACTACATTATCGTCGCCCCATTGATCCTCTGGCACTTGAACGGTGTAGGTACGCTCGCTGAATTGTGGATAGTTGTCGTTGTCATCTAATATCTTCACGATCACTGTTGCGGTGGCGGTCTTACGTTCACTTTGCGCCGAGGCCATATCTGAAGCGGTCACGATTAGGTTGTAGCTGTCTGATGTTTCTCGATCCAATGTGCTTCGCGTTGAGATGACGCCAGATCGTGCGTCAATACGGAAAATAGGTAGCTCCTGATCTTGTAAGGTGCCCGTGCCATCTGTAAGAGGAAGTAAGATATATGTTAAGTAAAAGACTGGTATAAGCTTTAACTGGAATCTGTGCAAGCTAAGCCTACTGATAGACGAAAGAAATTCAAGCTAAGCCCAAAGAGTCTATACAGAACTTTACTTGCAGGACATGGAAAGACTTTTAGTTATAGTACAGTTTCGGCTCAACCGAAGTTACTTACCCGTCACACTCTCAATACCATACTCGATCTCCGCATTCTTCCCAATATCCTGATCTGCAGCGCGCAGTGTGATGACCGTCGAACCAACTGTTGCACCCTCACGTATACTCGCCTCGAACTGCTCCGCTTCAAAGGTGGGACTATGATCATTACAGTCTAATACATTCACCTGAAGAGTCGTTGTGCCCGAGCGTGGTGGAAAACTGTCATCGGTGGCGACTACACGAAAATAATGCACATCCATCAATTCACGATCTAAGCTCGCCGAGGTGGTGACCACACCAGTGCGTGAGTCCACCTTGAAGAGCGATTGCGAACGTGAGTCGAGTAAAGAAACCATAGAATAGACAACCGGTGAGTCCTCTGGATCACGTGCACGCACTGTAGTCACAGCTGAACCCGCGGGCTGCTCTTCCAACACGGAAGCCACATAGAGTGCTTGCTCGAAATATGGCGACTGATTGCGCAGCTCACGACGTACACGCTTTGCTATATCAGTGTCGTTGAACTCCTGGTAGTGGTAGACGATCTTCAGACGGTGATCCGAATCCACAATCTCATTGCGATTACAACGTATATTGAAGGTAATGCTAACCTTCCACATCGACTCGTGTATGCAGACGTCACGGCTGGCAACCAAATCATGATTTTGATGTTCGATGGCGAAACGCTCATCGTTCACGTCCAGAAAATTGACTTTACAATATTGACATATCGATTTGGGTAAGAAAGCATTGAGATTGTTGATGAACTGTGAACGACGTAAACAAATCTGATTCCACTTATCCGTCGTGTGTATGGCATATGAGGCGTACGTTTCCGAGATCCATTGCTTGGCATCGGAAATACGTCGATGGAGAGAGGGCTCAAGTTGGAGCGGCTCCTTCGCGCGCCGCTTGCGACTTAATATACGATGACGCATCTCATTATCAAAATTGTCGCCAAATATCAAATCACCATCACGAAACTCACGTCGACTATTATTGTGATTTAACACGTCCACATCCTCTGCCGTGCGCGCCGTCAGCTCAACGCTATTACTCGTATGCGCCAAGTACGCGCCGAAATAACGCAGATCGGGTTGTGCTATAGTGTCCACATAGCGTCTGCGTCGCTTTGAGTAACCCGTCTCCTCCTCTTCATAATGCCTGCTATGCATATCCTCCTCTATACGCCGATCTTCATTGCAATCTTGACCCGTCACAAATATGCGCACCGGCAGGCTATAATAGTCGATGCTACGTAACCGATTCGATGTTGAGTCCACATAGAAGGTGAAGAGGTTGGGATAGTAGATGCCATCGCATTTCAATTGTTTGCGCAGTTGTATTTGACCATCTTTATGGTTGACCGCGACCAGATGGTGTACGAAATGCGCAGATTTGTGTGCGTTAATTTTATAATGCCGCTCCGAGCCGAGCTTGTAGACGGAGGCATTAAAGACCACTGTGCCCGCTGGCACGTCCTCATGCACGATTATCAGATAAGCGTGCGTCTGCTGCTGCTGCAATAGTTGTATGAAGATGAGCAGGATTAGTAGAAGTAGGCTTGTGTGTAGGCTGGGTGGCGCGGAGGCTCGTACGTGCCTGTTAGCAAGCGTGCTTTTACTACTACACCTGGTGAGTACTTCATTGTTATGATTCTCTTCGTTGCTCCAGCTAATACCAGTGTCCTGCTCCTCTACATCGTTCGGCCTTAGCGATTCACAGCTACTGCTACTACTCCGCGAAGGACTGCTACTACTTTTATTACTACTGCTACTATTACTACTACTACTACTATCACGACAATTTGTGTATACGCTTGACAGCCAACTCTTTCGCTGGCTCTGTGCTATGGCTAACATTTTCCGCGGCATGTGTGCTTCCGTATCTATGTGTGTAAGTTCGTTTGAAATGTTTGTAGGCCTCGGGCGTACGCAGTGCCCACCCGAGAGGTGTGCGCGGGACGCGTTTTAGCAAATCAACCGCACCACGACTGCACAGTACGGTTTATTAAATTCCCATTCGTCGGTTGTAATGCAGTGTTGCCGTTGTTGTTGTTGTTGCTGGCATCTAAAATGAGAAGAGCAGAGGGGAGAGGAACAAGCAAATCATTTGAATTAGTTAGCGAAATGTCAGCGTGTAACTACATTCGAGTATATATATAGTACGAGCATAGATATGCATGTATGACTAATTATGTTTATTATTTTAGGATACCTGGAGCTGCCCTAGCATTGGAATTACAATAATAATAACAAAAATAAACTATATGGCAACGCCATGAATATTAATAGTAAATTTACAAGTGATTTCACTGAAAATTTATGTAAGTGGATTTGTTGTTGCTGCTGAATATTGTTGCTGTTACTGTTGCTGCTGTTATTGAGGTTGCTCATTTATGTTGCAACCACATTTATGCGTAAATAAGTATAATTGTTGACCCAAAGTTGCATTCCAAGCAGGTTAATTGAGGCCGGGAGCTGATATTTGCGGTGGTACCGTTAAATTGATGTGCCATATAGAGGGCAAATGTAGATGTAATTAAAATTTTAAGAAATATTAGATGAGTGCATAAGTTCGTGCCCGATTCCGCTAGATGCCGTTCGAATCGTTTGAGAGTGGCGCTCGTGAAAGAAATATATACATATTATATATCGTTGGAAAGGTGACAGTCCGAACTGTAAATCAAGCATAAAATAACTTCATTTTGATTTGAGTTGCGTATTGAAAAGACGCATGGAAGATGGACAACGAAAAAGATCATATGCGTCATATAATGTTATACGAATTCCGCAAAGGAAACTAAAGATATTCGCGAAGTTTATTTGGACCGTGCTCCAGCACTCCGCACATTAAAGAAATGATTCGGGAAATTTCGTTCTGGAGATTTTAACCTCGAAGATCAACCTCGCAGTGGACGGCCTTCTGAACTGGATGACGATGTTCTAAAGACTTTTGTTGCGAATAACTCACGTATTTCGACGGATGAGGTTGCCAGTGAATTGAACGTCAACAAATCAACTGCGTTTCGTCGTTTAAAAAAGGTTGGGTACACTTTGAAGCTCGATACATGGGTGCCACATCAGTTGAGTGAAAAAAACAAAGTGGACCGTATGTCAACAGCAATTTCTTTGCTTCGACGGATCAAAAACGAACCTTTTTTGGATCGGCTCGTGACTGGTGATGAAAAATGGATCCTGTACAACAATGTTCAACGCAAAAGAACATGGAAACAGGCACACGAAGGGGCGGAACCGATGTCGAAAGGTGGATTGCATCCGATGAAGGTACTGCTGTGCATTTGGTGGGATATCCGAGGCGTGATCTATTTTGAGCTCTTGCCAGCTGGAGAAACGATCACTGCCAACAAGTATTGTCAGCAATTGGTCGAATTGAAGAAAGCAATTGATGAAAAACGTCCGATTTTGGCCAATCGCAAAGGAGTTCTTTTCCATCATGACAACGCCAGGCCACATGTTGCAAAACCGACCCTGGCCAAACTGAAGGAGATGAATTGGGAAATCATGCCGCATCCCCCATATTCACCCGACATTGCACCTTCTGATTATCATTTGTTTCGATCGCTGCAGAACAATTTGAATGGAAAAAAATTTAAAAATGTGGAAGACGTCAAAAACCACCTTGACACCTTTTTCAACGAGAAACCGCGCGATTTCTATGAATCAGGCATCCGTAAATTGGTTGAACGTTGGGAGTGGATTGCCAAACATGATGGCGAATACATAATTGATTAATAAAAGCGCTTTCTTCAAAAAATTTCAATTTTAGTTTGCACTTGAAATCGGGCACGAACTTATACACTCATCCAATAAATAAAGAAGAAAGAAAAAAAAAAATAACTAACAAAAATAGAAATTGAATTAAATTAAAAATTTATTTTAATCTAGAAAAAAATAATTATTTTACAAAAAAATGTGGAGAGAAAAAAAGTGTATAAATAGTTTAATTTATAAAAATGGCTTCTACTCAGCTGAAGTTCAAAATATGCCGTTATGCCTAAGTGTACAAATAAATTTTGTAAACACCCACATCTGACTTTCGGGAAGCTATTATCAGTTGTAATAGAGGCGGAGACATGCATTTTTACCGACGGCACTAAAATATACGAAGGAATGGGGGTTACAGATACAGCTTGAAAAAAGAAAGATTCATACTCATTAGGTGCCAGGCCGAATCGAACGTAACGAGATATCTGATGAACTGGCTAAGGGGTTTGTACACTCAGAACAGGACTTAACAGTTTCACTAAGAAGAGTTAGGGAAGCAAGTGCAAGAAGTAATCTTGGTTTGTCACGCGTATAAATTTTAAGAAGAGATTGTAGAACCGTGAAAACTATGAGCAAAGTATATGATGCTAAACTCTCAAACTACTCACTTGTGGAAAAGAGACTGGACAGCAGGCTGCTGGCAGGACTATTGGTGGACCATTGTCTGTAGGAGTCGTAAGCTTTTAATTTGTGTAGCTCTGATGGGGGACTACGCACGTAGAAAAAGAAGGGAATGTGTGAGGAGACATTAGAGCACGTAATCTGTGAGTATTCATCTAGACAAAGGTTATGCTTTTGGTTACGTATAGGCTGAGGTACCTTTAGTCAGTAATGAGTAGAAGGCCCAAACGACTACTTCAGCTTGTAAAGGCAAACGTTCTTCAAATTTTAAAGTCAATAAAGTATTACTCTTTCGTATGCTTGTTAATCTATTGACAGTATGGATGTGGTATCGTCTAATTAAGATTCGCAGGGTCAGCTTGTTTTTTCGAAACATTTGTTTGTTTTTTTTTTTTTTTTTGGAAGGAAAATGCGTGGTGTGTAAAGCTTAGTATAGCAGCATCTTGACTGCTTTCCTGAATTCTTTTCATTATGAAATGGCATTACGCTTGAACGAAGTTCATGTGTTTTGGAATATTTCAACTATTATCAGCAATTGAGCATTGGAATCCAATCTGTTAAGAAATGTTTCATCTTTTTTCAGTCTTTTCTTAGCGTACTAAAATTATTAGTGACCTTAGATAAATCATTGTCTGATTTTATTATAAACAAATAATATTCTAAATTTTTTCTCACCCTAAATGTAGGCAATGTTTTATGAAGTTTTAACACAATAACGTTGCCTACATTTAAGCGACGTTTTTAATTTAATGTAGCTTAGTATAATAAAAAAATAGTTTAAAAATAAGAAAACTATAATAATTATTATTTTTTTCAATGTTTTCGTGGTAAGTTTTTGGTATCAAAAATACAATGTTTTATTACCAAATTGTTCTTCTTTTCCTCGCCGATGGAATCGGAGCCCATCAACAACCTCACATTCAACTATGTACTTAAACTCACTATAAATTTCCTTGTCAAAACTTTGCATATTAAGGAAATTCAATTAAATTCGAGGAAGTGTTGTTCGTAAGTGGCTGCGATTAAAAAAAAAAAACAACCAGCACACGAAAAGAACACTCACACTGCAACCTGATTTAAATTGCGCTGCCACGCCTTGAGACTACACATGTGGAGGGCCGGGAAAAAAAGAGTGAAAGAAGCGGAGGAAATTAAGTTTTTGGCAAACGACGTAGACGTTTAATGTAAAGTGTCATAAATCAAGGTAACAAGAAAATAGTTAAATACCACAAGAAAAACAAAATAACAACGAATACAGCGTTCCCTAAAGCAGCTACAACAAAGCACACAAAAACAACAAAAACGCTTTGCCGCCGCACCTTTTTTGCAAGTTAAAGCGACAGGCGCCGAGCATTTATGTAAGAAGTGGCAGCTGAGGAACCGCATGCAGAAGAGTGCATACTTAGTTTATTTTCATAAAGTTTGATGCAACTTGAAGTGGCATACATGGCGTGCAATTGTTGCAACTTAAGCGTGTAGCAAGCTATATATGAGCATACTCGTAAATTACGTCATATATACCTATCCGGTGCGCATTAGGAGCATCGAAATAAATTTGTTGGCTTACGCTTATGTAGCAGAGACCATTAAAGGCTAATTTATGCCCTCTTATTTCAAGAGATGTGATCCAAGCAGATTTTATGTGATCGTCTAAAATCCTAGGTTTGATGAAGACAAGGTATCATTTATAAATACGGGAAGTTCTTTTCGAATATATCTTAATAAGAAAGGTCTTAAATAAAAATATTTATTTAAAAGTTAAGCCTCTCGTGCTAAAGTCTACTGGAATGACCTCTGTCGGGCAGATGACACTTTTTTAAAGCATTTTGAAAGGTCTCCACTTCATTCCCTTAACTGTTAAACTCAGCTCAACTTAAATAACTCAAAAATATTTAGGAACTCTCTACATTACACTATAAAAATTCTTCCCTCGATTTTGGTTAACTTACCGCAGCTTATGATGGAGTCTGAATTAGTTTCAAGTTACCAAAGAGAGCTCAATTAAATTTCTGTGAGCAAAATTCAAGGGAAAGCTTTCAATTTTACCCAACTCAAATTTACTCAACTTAAATTACCCAAAGAAAGTAACTCAAATATTACATATAAAATCAATTTAACTAAACTCAAATAAATTTAACTTGGTTCCACTAAGCTCAAAGGAAAATATTACTTCAATATCAGTTTAGCTTACTTTTGAATTACACTTAACCCAATTCAAGTGCATTAAACTCATCTCAACTCTTTCCACTGAGCTATACACAATTCAACTCAACTCCATTTGGCCCAATTCAACTTAACTCCACTCAATTTTGCTAACTTCAACTCAACTCCACTCAATTTAATTTAACTAAACTTTACTCAATTCAACTGAACTAAGTTCAGCTCAACTAAGCTGGAAAGCAAATATAAGACTATTTTTATATCAACTTAAGTCAACTTCATTCAACTCAACAGCACTCAACTCAAATGAACTCAACTCAACTCAATTCAAACTTAGCTTAGCTCAAATTAAACTTAACTCAAATTAAAACCCAAGCTCAACTCAATCCAATTCAACTCTGAAGTTCACTCAACTCTACTAAATTGTACTTAACTAACATCGAATTAATTTTATTTCACTCAATTCCCTTGTTTGAATTAGTGTCAGCTGGACTTTAAGAA